TATTCCTAAACTAGTTTTAAAACCAAAAGTGTGAAATATTACTAGTTATTATACTGTCCATTTTTGACTGGATTAAATATATTATTATTAATGTATTACATTTTCTGGCCGGAATAGCTGGAATATTGCTAATTCGACTACAAGCAACATATACTCACTCATTTTAACCCACTCACTCACTCACCTAGTATGCAGGTAGCGATATTATTCGACTGGGCCCAAGTGCAGTCTTTCCCTCGTAATTCCTCAAACTCCAATGCTTTTTCTCTTAATGTTGACAGAATATAGAGACGCTGACAGTATTTATGGAGGAACACGACTAAAACCTGGCTAAGACTCATCAACCTACCCTACGCATAAAGTAGGAAAAAGACAGTCGAGCATTATTTTTTTTGACAGTTAGCGTGTTTTTTAATGACACATATGTTAATTTCTTACCGAATCAGACTACGTAATCATCCTTTAAACAAACAAAGCGTGCACGTTGAAAGTGATGTTCTTACTTACACAGTTACTGTACTGCTGAATGCACACTTGTCTGAACATTTAATTTAATTTAATTTGTTTACACGTTCTATATCTGTCAAATACAATGAACTGAACAAGCGTAAAAGTTATTTTAAATTTTTTAGGTATACTGTAAATGTCAATGTGTTAGATAGGTCAAGTGAAAACGATTTCGTATTGCCCGGGGGAGATTGTTAGAGGGCAACACCTAGTTTGATGGGGAGCCGCGAGCTTCAGTGGGCTTGTGTGTACCGACGGAAGCAGTGAGCATTACGGGGTCTATGCTTGGGTAACAGGGACACGCTTTGCTGTTTGGATGCGCTGATTCGTCAGTCCTGTTCGGGGCAGTTTGGAGCATGTCTGTAAGGTGAGGAATATTAAACTGTTTAAAGAATAATCCATGTTAACATAATTAGTGGTTTTAAGTTATCAGTCCAATGTATTTCTCCGAAAAACTACCAAAGGTGGTATTGAGTATATACATACAACATACATGTATTCAATAGATGAATATGGCAGCACACTTAAGTGATTTAGACTCTTCTACGTTATAATATATTCAAAATTTAATGTACATTGAAGTTTTAAAAGTGGATATATTTTTAGGGGATAATCCTTTACGTAATTTACACATATTTAACCAGATATAACAAATCTTTGGGACATAAAGAAGTTATTTTTAAGAGTTAATTAGTCAAGCCATTACGCTAGTGCACTTATATCACTTTTTGTGGTGTGCCTGGGATGTTCGAAATATTTAAGTCATGATAGCGATTATATTAGAATAACAAGTACTGTTCAATATACTTGTGAATAGCCATAACGACAATGCGACCAACTTTGCGTTTGATTATAAGATTGTTTGATTATAAAACTGACCCGTGAAGATCCGGGGTAAAATAGGTCTTCAGCAACCCATGCTTGCCTTAAAGGTGACTATGCTTGTCGTAAAAGGCGACTAACGGGATCGGGTGGTCAGGCTCGCTGACTTGGTTGATGCTTGTCATCGATCCCAATTTCGTGGATTGATGCTCATGATGTCAATCACTGGATTGTCTGTTCCAGACTCGATTACTTAGAGACCGCCTTCATATAGCTTGAATATTGCTGAGTGCGGCGTTAAACAACAAACAAGATTATAAGATTTTCAACTAAAAAAAATTATCTCACAGGCTTTCGCAAAGGATCAGTTGAGACATGATTGATTAAAACAGCAGAATGTTTGAAAGATAACGGGAAGCGATCGGAACTTGAAACAGTGTTGAAATGGGGGAATGATTGCCATGAAGGAATCATTGTAACATGGTAATGAACCAAAGAAGGCATACGACAGAGGAATGATTCAATTGATTATGGTCGTTGTGGAAACAGACGAACCATGGTTACAGAAGCAACATTGCTCATAATAATTGTGTCATCCAAATGGTTTGGGTAACGGAGAAATACTTGTCGCTGTGGCTTGGTTGGCGTAACGTAGCATTAGTTGTTACAGCGGATGATTAATATACCAGAGGATTGGTCTAATGGATAAATATTATATTAGACGAAACATTTGTGTAACAGAGATGGCAGAAGACGATTGGTGTATCGAAGAAATAATAGCAATGGTATAAGAGGAATGATTGGAGTAAAAGAAGTAATATTAATGGCGGAAGACGAATGATTGGTGTATTGCAGAAACAATAACAATGGTATAAGAGGAATGATTCTTGTAACAGAGGAATAATATTAATGCCAGAAGACGAATGATTGGCATATTGATTGACGAAACAATAGCAGTGATATATGAGGAATGTTTGGTGTAACAGAAATGATATTAATGGCAGGAGACGAATGATTGGTTTTTCGAAGAAATAACAGCAATGGTATAAAAGGAATGATTGGTGTGACAGGAATAATAATTGTCAGAAGACGAATGATTGTTGTTTTGAAGAAATAATAGCAATGGTATAAGAGGAATGATTAGGTAACAGTAGTAATATTAATGGCAGAAGACGAATGATTGTTGTTTTGAAGAAATAACAGCAGTGGTATATGATGAATTGATTAATGTAACAGAGGAATAATATTGATGGCAGAAGACGAATGATTGGTGTTTTGAAGAAATAAGAGCAATGGTATAAAAGGAATGATTGGTGTGACAGAGGAATAATATTGATGGCAAAAGAAGAATGATTGATGTATCGAAGAAATAACAGCAGTGGTATAAGATGAATTGATTAATGTAACAGAGGAATAATATTGATGGCAGAAGTCGAATGATTGGTGTATCGAGGAAATAACAGCTGTGGTATAAGATGAATTATTGGTGTAACAGAGGAATAATATTAATGGCAGAAGACGAATGATTGGTGTATCGAGGAAATAACAGCAGTGGTATAAGAGGAAAGATTGGTGTAACAGAGGAATAATATTGATGGCAAAAGACGAATGATTGGTGTTTTGAAGAAATAATAGTAATGGTATAAGAGGAATAATTGATGTAACAGAGGAATAATATTGATGGCAGAAGACGAATGATTGTTGTTTTAAAGAAATAATAGCAATGGTTTAAGAGGAATGAATAGGTAACAGGAGTAATATTATTGACAGAAGACGAATGATTGGTGTTTTGAAGAAAAAACAGCAGTGGTATAAGATGAATTGATTAATGTAACAGAGGAATAATAATGATGGCAGAAAACGAGTGATTGGTGTTTTGAAGAAATAACAGCTCTGGTATAAGATGAATTGATTAATGTAACAGAGGAATAATATTAATTGCAGAATACGAATGATTGGTGTATCGAGGAAGTAACAGCAGTGGTACAAGAGGAATGATTTGTGTAACAGAGGAATAATATTGATGGCAGAAGACGAATGATTGGTGTTTTGAAGAAATAATAGTAATGGTATAAGAGGAATGATTGATGTAACAGAGGAATAATATTGATGGCAGAAGAAGAATGATTGGTGTATCGAAGAAATAATAGCAATGGTGTAAAAGGAATGATTTGTGTAACAGAGGAATAATATTGATGGCAGAAGACGAATGATTGGTGTTTTGAAGAAATAATAGTAATGGTATAAGAGGAATGATTGATGTAACAGAGGAATAATATTGATGGCAGAAGAAGAATGATTGGTGTATCGAAGAAATAATAGCAATGGTGTAAAAGGAATGATTGGTGTGACAGAGGAATAATATTGATGGCAAAAGAAGAATGATTGATGTATCGAAGAAATAACAGCAGTGGTATAAGATGAATTGATTAATGTAACAGAGGAATAATATAAATGGCAGAAGACGAATGATTGTTGTTTTAAAGAAATAATAGCAATGGTATAAGAGGAATGAATAGGTAACAGGAGTAATATTAATGGCAGAAGACGAATGATTGGTGTTTTGAAGAAATAAAAGCAGTGGTATAAGATGAATTGATTAATGTAACAGAGGAATAATATTGATGGCAGAAGACGAATGATTGGTGTTTTGAAGAAGTAACAGCTGTGCTATAAGATGAATTGATTAATGTAACAGAGGAATAATATTGATGGCAGAAGACGAATGATTGGTGTATCGAGGAAATAACAGCAGTGGTATAAGAGGAATGATTTGTGTAACAGAGGAATAATATTGATGGCAGAAGACGAATGATTGGTGTTTTGAAGAAGTAATAGCAATGGTATAAGAGGAAGGATTGATGTAACAGAGGAATAATATTGATGGCAGAAGACAAATGATTGGTGTATCGAAGAAATAACAGCAATGGTATAAAAGGAATGATTGGTGTTAAAGAGGAATAATACTTGTCAGAAAACGAATGATTGTTGTTTTGAAGAAATAATAGCAATGGTATAAGAGGAATGATTGATTTAGCTGAGGAATAATATTGATGGCAGAAGACGAATGATTGATGTTACTGGTGAATACTCGTCGAGGAAGAATGATTAGGGTAAAAAACGAAAAATAATAATGGTAAAAGACGAATGATTGTTAAAACAGACAAATAATATTTGAAGACGAATGGAGAGGCAAAAGAGGAATAATATTATTGGTAGAAGACACATGACTGGTGTAATGGTGGTAGAAGGCAAACGCTGGTGCAATGGAGACATAATAGTCATGGTAGTAGACAAAAGATTAGTGTCAGAGGGGAATAATAATAACTGTAGAAAAACAAATGATTAGTGCAACAGAGAAATAATAATTGTAGAAGGCGAATGATTAGTGCAACAGAGACATACTAATAATTGAAGAAGACGAATGATTTGTGCAACAGAGAAATAATAATGATCGTAGTAGACAAATGATTAGTGCGACAGACACATAATAATAATTGTAGAAGGCGAATGGTTAGTGCGAAGGAGAAATTATAATTATAGTAAAAGACGAATTGTTAGTGCAACTGAAAAATAATAATAAATGTAGAAGGTGAATAATTTGTGTTGATACAAAGGAGAGTAAGCGAATGATAAATGAACACCGAAAAATAATAGTAGAAGACGAATGATTGGTGTAACAGTGGAATAATTGCAGGTACGATATGTCTTGCAGTATATTGTCTGCCCCCAGGATGACGGTCGTTGGCAGCTGCGTTGTCCTAGTCTTGTGCTCGGTAGTTCTTCAAGTCTCTGGCACCAAAAATGGTTGGGCACCACAGTGGATGCATGACCGATTCTGTGACGGGCGGCACGAGTACGTGTCTCTCCCCTGGGACTGTTCGGGGTACATCCACTGCGGGGACAAGAGCTCTCACTGGCTCAATTGTGCACCCACACTCAAGTTTAACAATCAGAGTCAAACATGCGATCTCAAGTCACCATCGTGCGAAAATCCCGAAAGTAAGTAAATAGATATTTAATTGCTCTCATCAGCCTCCTTTGATTGCATCAATACCATTCCACTTTTGATAGAGATATTTTAGACCCGTGAAGATCCGGGGTAAAATAGGTCTTCAGCAACCCATGCTAGCCGTAAAAGGCGACTATGCTTGTCGTAAAAGGCGACTAACGGGATTGGGTGGTCAGGCTCGCTGACTTGGTTGATGCAGGTCATCAATCCCAATTGCGTGGATCGATGCGCATGATATCAATCACTGGATTGTCTGGTCCAGACTCGATTATTTACAGACCGCCGCCATTTAGCTGGGATATTGCTGAGTGCGGCGTAAAACGACAAACAAACAAACAGAATTGATACAAATAAATGATTCTCATCATACGTCAAGTGCGTATGTAAATATAATGACGTGTTTGAGTACCCCTTTCAAAGTTGAGTGGTTTATTCAATAAGGCCATACTTCATTAAGTTGTCAGAAAGTTCTGTCAAGATGAATTTAATGCATAGTAAAACAACATTCTTATGCCATGCCATGAGACCATAAAGTCGAAAAGGAAACATGTTTTATCCCGGGATAAAAAAAAATTAATAAAACATTTATCCCAGGATAAAAAGCTTATGACACACTCCCCAAGATTAAGGTGTACGTGCAGCGTATGTCCATCCCTCATTGTCAGTGACACACCCATCACCTGGGCCTTCGCGGAATAAGTCGACTCACGGCATAGAACCTACCAATGACCATAACATTCGAATGTGTACTGATCATAATATTGTCACAATAAATGCTGTATCGATTAATATATTTGATTGTTTTTACTCTTGTTCCCTACACAATTCTTTGTGCGGTTGGACCCGTGAAGATCCGGGGTAGAATAGGTCTTCAGCAACCGATGCTTGTCGTAAGAGGCGACTAACGGGATCTGGTGGTCAGGCTTGCTGACTAGGTTGATGCATGTCATCGTATCCAAATTGCGTGGATCGATGCTCATGATATTAATCACGTGATTGTCTGGTCCAGTCTCGATTATCTACAGACCGCCGTCACATAGCTGAAATTTAGCTGAGTGCGGCGTAAAACAAACAACCAACCACTGCGATGATTAAATAGCATTGTAATCTTTTCTGCATATTTTATGCTGACAATAAAATATTTAACAACAAACCAACCAACCAATTGTGATATTATATAAAGCTAATCATAAACATTATGGGAGAGGGCTACATTAGTTGTGCAAACTTGTGCCCAATAATTTTCCTTGTGAATAAAATATGTTTACATCAAACATTGTGGTAACAATGGTTCATGTGGCCTTGACATTGCAGCTGTAGCGACCAAATGGTGCCAAGTGTACTCCACCCTGAAATTCGCCCATCCCCACAGCTGCTCTCTGTACTACGACTGCTCCAAGAACACGCCCTCTCCAGAGTATGGTCTCAAGGTGTACGAGAAGGAATGCAAATGGCCGACCCTGTTCGACCCCATCGAAATGGTGTGTCAGGAGGACACATTCAACACAATTGTCTGTGATAAGAGGCCGGTGTCGAGATGTGAGTGATTAGTATACTACACAAACATAGGTAAGGATTCTTTCATATTACTGTAGTTAATCGGTCAGATTATAGCAATATGAAAGAATCGGTTGGTCCTTAAGTTCCATTTCCGTGGTCTAGTGGTAGAGGGTCCGCCCGGAGAACCAAAAGACGTTAAAAGATGGTACTTGTTGTTACCCTGTCTGGGGCTCGGCGTTAAGGGGCTTTAACAAGTAATGGTCGGCTCGGAGTCAGTACACTGTGTCTGAGTGGGGTATTCATGTTCAACTGCGGCATGGTATCTCAGTGTGCTAGCATTATAAATCGGCATCAGTCCGGACTAGTAAGCAGCCACACACACATACACACATACACGTGCATGCACGTCGCTATATATATACGTGCAATAATCTTGGACGCGACGTTAAACCCCATTTCACCTCACTTCACCATTAAGACCCACAAGAATATTTCTAGATGTGCATTGCATTCGACTGTGTGGTCTTGAAGTCGGCATGCGCATTTTTGTCTAAAAAAAACCAGAATTACGAGGTACATTGATGACCCTTTCGTGGTCAGCTACGCCTGCATATGCTGAGAATACCTTTATAATTCGTTATCAGATATGCTCATATGAAATCAGAATTAGATAATGCTCTTTGCAACACTTGCATGCTTTTGATTTGTGCAAAACAACACAAATTATAAATGGTAAATGGTAAAGACGACGGAATGGCCAATTTTTACCGAAATACGAAATTGAATTGAACTTAGAGTGTAATTGAAGGCGGTTCAAGAAGGCCATACGTCTATTCAGTCACCTCCCACCCATATCCTCATTCACTCACTCACTCACTAACTTCGACACTACATCCACCAATCCTCAAACTCATTCATATTTGGTTTATGCATGTAATCGTATCCCAAATGCGTAGAACGATGCTCAGAATGTCAATCACTGGGTTGTCTGGTCCAAACCCGATTATCTACAGACCACCGTCATATAGCTGGAATACTGCTGAGGGCGGAGTTAAACAACAAACAACTCAAACACGAATTCACCCACTCACCCACCCATCCATCCATTCATCATACATCAACCGGCCATTCATTCACTCAATCACTCCCGACTACCCCCAGGTGACTACGTGACGGAATGCACCACCCCCGAGTCCTTCAATGACGCCTGTGTCAGCCTGCCTGATGGACCCCACGCCGAGCACAGCGCCCCCTTCAGCACCACCTTCGTCCGCTGCGTGGGACAGAGAGTGCAGGAGAAAGTTACGTGCGACACAGGGGAGGTGTTCGACACAGGCATCAGCAACTGTACAGGGAATTTCGAGAGTAGGAACAATGTCGATTGATAAGACAGACAAATCACCCGTCATAGGGCTTGTCAGAATACACTTTGTTGCGATACGATACATGAAAACTCATGTTTCATCTTACAGAATAGACAGATAACAAACCAAAATCTGGTACATTTGCTTCAGACCCGTGAAGATCCGGGGTAGAATAGGTCTTCAGCAACCAATGCTTGCCGTAAAAGGCGACTATGCTTGTCGTAAAAGGCGACTAACAGGATCGGGTGGTCAGGCTTGCTGACTTGGTTGATGCATGTCATCGATCCCAATTGCGCGGATCGATGCTTATGATATTAATCACTGGATTGTCTGGTCCAGACACGATTATTTACAGACCGCCGTCATATAGATTGAATATCGCTGAGTGCGGCGTTAAACAACAAACCAAACCAAAAACATTTGCTTCACTGATGAAACAGCATACTCTACATCTCCAGGACTCGCCTTTCTCTAACCCCTGGATCCATTCCCATGGAGTTTCGCGATCTCAAATTACCCGCTCTTGATTTTTATAAACATTTTACCGACCAATCAAAAATCGAGAGAAGGAAATTGATAGATCACAGGAAATGCTTAGCAGCAAGGGGACTTGTTCTGATATACATGAAGACATCCCTTCCATCAAAACGAATTTTGGAGGGCTTTTTTGCGTGTCAGTCGGGTTTTCAAAGTTGAATTTCTCTCAAACTGTTTCGTCATCAATGGGACTGCCGCCATGTCGTTGACACCGCCAAACAAACTTAGAGGAAGGTTTGGAACTCGTATTCTGATTGGTCCGTTAGACAAAGTAACATAGCAAATGAAATTGGCTTATGAAAATCAAGGTCAGGTTATTTGAGATCGCGAGGAGCACGGGAATGGTTACTGGGGTTTGTGTAGGTTCAGCGATGTAGAAGAGGACGAAACTGCGGCTTGAGACCTCTAAAACGTGCCGGACAAAATAGCATTCTGTAATTAATTTTCATACAGTTGTATATGTCACCCTTGTGTGTATTTGAATCGACTTGAATCGACAAATGGCCTCACGCTAAGATAATCGTATCGTGGAACAGAGAATTACGAAGCACCGTTCGGTGAATGACTACGCTCCTAATCCGTTTGTTCGGTGAAAGGTTGGTTGGTTGGTTTGTTGTTTAACGCCGCACTCAGCAATATTCCAGCTATATGACGGCGGTCTGTAAATATTCGAGTCCGAACCAGACAATCAATATTAATTGAGCATCGATCCACGCAATTAGGATCGATGACATGCATCAACCAAGTCAGCGAGCCTGACCCCCCGATCCCGTTAGTCACATTTTACGACAAGCATAGTCACCTTTTACGGCAAGCATGGATTGCTGAAGACCTATTCTACCCCAGAATCTTCACGGGTCGTTCGGTGAATGGTTTACACCTACTAGCCCTTCCTTCCTCGTGAAGATGTGGTTTAGAATTGGTCTTCAGCAACCAATGCTTCTCGTAAGAGGCGACTTACGAGATCGGGCGGTCAGGCTCGCTGACTTGGTTGATGCATGCCACGTATCCCAAATACGTACATCGATGCTCATGCTGTCAAACACTGGCTGATCTGATCCAGACTCGATTTTTTCGGACCGCCGCCATATATCAGAAATATTCCTGAGTGCAGCGTTAAACAACAAATAAACAAACAAATCCTAATTCCTCTTCGGCTTCAGATTCCGTCAATGAGTACTGCAGGAACAACCCAACAGCTGTTTTCGCCGACCCGTTCGACTGCGCTCTGTTCTATAACTGTTCCGCGAGCCGGCACCGGTTTGGTCTGGAAGAGTACCAGGCGGAATGCAGGTACATGCACCTGTTTGACATGAAGACCAACACGTGTGTCGACTTTGCCGACCTCAAGGCCTCATGTGGAACACGACGGGAGCCTAAAGCACCATGTAAGATGAGTGAGTGAGTGGGAATGGTTTTACGCCGCTTTTAGCAATTCTCCAGCAATATCACGGCGGGGTACACCAGACATAGGCTCCACACATTGTACCCATGTAGGGAATCGAACCCGGGCCTTCGGCGTTACGAGCAAACGCTCTGACCATCAGGCAACCCAACCGCCCCCCTTGTAAGATAAAGCGGTTGGGACTATTGCGGGCATGGTAAGTACAGTGTTAGTGTATGCCTGTTAGTACAGTAACTATATTGTGGGATGAGGGGAAGACTTTCTGGTAGAGACATACATACAATCATCACGTATATTCTCTTCTTTCTTCATGGGACCCACTCATTATCTGTCGGATATTCCGTGAAGGGTTTGTATGTTTTCGTAAAAACTGTGGCAAGGCTAAATTCCAAATATTTTCTGGAAACTATTGATACTAAGGTAGCGTTAATACTCCAGGTGAATGTGTGACACATGAGGTAGCGTTGATCTCCAGGTGAATCTGTTGACATTAAGCCACCGTTAATATTCCAGGTGATTGTGTGGCACATAAGGTAGCGTTGAACTCCAGGTGAACCTGTCGACATTAACGTAGCGTTAATATTCCAGGTGCATCTGTCGACACTTAGATAGGGTAAATATTCCAGGTGAACCTGTTGACACTAAGGTAGCGTAAATATTCCAGGTGATTAAGTTAATAATAATGCAGCGTCAATATTTCAGGTGAACCTGTCGACATTAAGGTAGCGTTAATATTCCAGGTGAATCTGTCGACACTAAGGTAGCGTAAATATTCCAGGTGAATCTGTCGACACTAAGGTAGCGTAAATATTCCAGGTGAATCTGTCGATACTAAGGTAGCTTAAATATTCCAGGTAAATCTGTCGACACTAAGGTAGCATTAATATTCCAGGTGAACCTGTCGACACTAAGGTAGCGTAAATATTCCAGGTGAATCTGTCGACATTAACGTAGCGTTAATATTCCAGGTGCATCTGTCGACACTAAGATAGGGTAAATATTCCAGGTGAACCTGTCGACACTAAGGTAGCGTAAATATTGCAGGTGAATCTGTCGACACTAAGGTAGCGTTAATATTCCAGGTGAACCTGTCGACACTAAGGTAGCGTAAATATTCCAGGTGAATCTGTCGACACTAAGGTAGCGTAAATATTCCAGGTGAATCTGTCGACACTAAGGTAGCGAAAATATTCCAGGTTAATCTGTCGACACTAAGGTAGCGTTAATATTCCAGGTGAACCTGTCGACACTAAGGTAGCGTTAATATTCCAGGTCATAAAGTTAATAATAATGCAGCGAGATGATAAAGTTAATAATAATGCAGCGTCAATATTCCAGGTTAATCTGTCGACACAACGGCAGAGTAAATATTCCAGGTGAATCTGTCGACACTAAGGTAGCGTTAATATTCCAGGTCATAAAGTTAATAATAATGCAGCGAGATGATAAAGTTAATAATAATGCAGCGTCAATATTCCAGGTGAATCTGTCGACACAACGGCAGAGTAAATATTCCAGGTGAATCTGTCGACACTAAGGTAGTGTAAATATTCCAGGTAAATCTGTCGACACTAAGGTAGCATTAATATTCCAGGTGAACCTGTCGACACTAAGGTAGCGTAAATATTCCAAGTGAATCTGTCGACACAAAGGTAGCGTAAATATTCCAGGTGAATCTGTCGACACTAAGGTAGCGTAAATATTCCAGGTGAATCTGTCGACACTAAGGTAGCGTTAATATTCCAGGTGAACCTGTCGACACTAAGGTAGCGTAAATATTCCAGGCGAATCTGTCGACACTAAGGTAGCGTAAATATTCCAGGTTAATCTGTCGACACTAAGGTAGCGTTAATATTCCAGGTGAACCTGTCGACACTAAGGTAGCGTTAATATTCCAGGTCATAAAGTTAATAATAATGCAGCGAGATGATAAAGTTAATAATAATGCAGCGTCAATATTCCAGGTGAATCTGTCGACACTAAGGTAGAGTATATATTCCAGGTGAATCTGTCGACACTAAGGTAGCGTTAATATTCCAGGTCATAAAGTTAATAATAATGCAGCGAGATGATAAAGTTAATAATAATGCAGCGTCAATATTCCAGGTGAAACTGTCGATATTAAGGTAGCATTGATATTTCCAGTGAATCTGTCGATACTAAGGTAGCGTTGATCTTCAACGTGAATCTGTCGATGTTAATGCATGTTTAACATTCCAGGTGAATCTTTCGAACATAAGGTGACGTTAATACTCAAGGTGAATCTGTCGATGCTGAGGTAGCGTTGATCTTCAATGTGAATGTATCGATGTTAATGCATCTTTAATATTCCAGGTGAATCTGTCGACACTAAGGTAGCGTAAATATTCCAGGTGAATCTGTCGACACTAAGGCAGCTTAAATATTCCAGGTGAATCTGTCGACACTAAGGTAGCGTAAATATTCCAGGTGAATCTGTCGACACTAAGGTAGCGTTAATATTCCAGGTGAACCTGTCGACACTAAGGTAGCGTAAATATTCCAGGTGAATCTGTCGACACTAAGGTAGCGTAAATATTCCAGGTGAATCTGTCGACACTAAGGTAGCGTAAATATTCCAGGTTAATCTGTCGACACTAAGGTAGCGTTAATATTCCAGGTGAACCTGTCGACACTAAGGTAGCGTTAATATTCCAGGTCATAAAGTAAATAATAATGCAGCGAGATGATAAAGTTAATAATAATGCAGCGTCAATATTCCAGGTGAATCTGTCGACACAACGGCAGAGTAAATATTCCAGGTGAATCTGTCGACACTAAGGTAGTGTAAATATTCCAGGTAAATCTGTCGACACTAAGGTAGCATTAATATTCCAGGTGAACCTGTCGACACTAAGGTAGCGTAAATATTCCAGGTGAATCTGTCGACACTAAGGTAGCGTAAATATTCCAGGTGAATCTGTCGACACTAAGGTAGCGTAAATATTCCAGGTGAATCTGTCGACACTAAGGTAGCGTTAATATTCCAGGTGAACCTGTCGACACTAAGGTAGCGTAAATATTCCAGGTGAATCTGTCGACACTAAGGTAGCGTAAATATTCCAGGTGAATCTGTCGACACTAAGGTAGCGTAAATATTCCAGGTTAATCTGTCGACACTAAGGTAGCGTTAATATTCCAGGTGAACCTGTCGACACTAAGGTAGCGTTAATATTCCAGGTCATAAAGTTAATAATAATGCAGCGAGATGATAAAGTTAATAATAATGCAGCGTCAATATTCCAGGTTAATCTGTCGACACAACGGCAGAGTAAATATTCCAGGTGAATCTGTCGACACTAAGGTAGCGTTAATATTCCAGGTCATAAAGTTAATAATAATGCAGCGAGATGATAAAGTTAATAATAATGCAGCGTCAATATTCCAGGTGAAACTGTCGATATTAAGGTAGCATTGATATTTCCAGTGAATCTGTCGATACTAAGGTAGCGTTGATCTTCAATGTGAATCTGTCGATGTTAATGCATGTTTAACATTCCAGGTGAATCTTTCGAACATAAGGTGACGTTAATACTCAAGGTGAATCTGTCGATGCTGAGGTAGCGTTGATCTTCAATGTGAATGTATCGATGTTAATGCATCTTTAATATTCCAGGTGAATCTGTCGACACTAAGGTAGCGTAAATATTCCAGGTGAATCTGTCGACACTAAGGTAGCTTAAATATTCCAGGTGAATCTGTCGACACTAAGGTAGCGTAAATATTCCAGGTGAATCTGTCGACACTAAGGTAGCGTTAATATTCCAGGTGAACCTGTCGACACTAAGGTAGCGTAAATATTCCAGGTGAATCTGTCGACACTAAGGTAGCGTAAATATTCCAGGTGAATCTGTCGACACTAAGGTAGCGTAAATATTCCAGGTTAATCTGTCGACACTAAGGTAGCGTTAATATTCCAGGTGAACCTGTCGACACTAAGGTAGCGTTAATATTCCAGGTCATAAAGTAAATAATAATGCAGCGAGATGATAAAGTTAATAATAATGCAGCGTCAATATTCCAGGTGAATCTGTCGACACAACGGCAGAGTAAATATTCCAGGTGAATCTGTCGACACTAAGGTAGTGTAAATATTCCAGGTAAATCTGTCGACACTAAGGTAGCATTAATATTCCAGGTGAACCTGTCGACACTAAGGTAGCGTAAATATTCCAGGTGAATCTGTCGACACTAAGGTAGCGTAAATATTCCAGGTGAATCTGTCGACACTAAGGTAGCGTAAATATTCCAGGTGAATCTGTCGACACTAAGGTAGCGTTAATATTCCAGGTGAACCTGTCGACACTAAGGTAGCGTAAATATTCCAGGTGAATCTGTCGACACTAAGGTAGCGTAAATATTCCAGGTGAATCTGTCGACACTAAGGTAGCGTAAATATTCCAGGTTAATCTGTCGACACTAAGGTAGCGTTAATATTCCAGGTGAACCTGTCGACACTAAGGTAGCGTTAATATTCCAGGTCATAAAGTTAATAATAATGCAGCGAGATGATAAAGTTAATAATAATGCAGCGTCAATATTCCAGGTTAATCTGTCGACACAACGGCAGAGTAAATATTCCAGGTGAATCTGTCGACACTAAGGTAGCGTTAATATTCCAGGTCATAAAGTTAATAATAATGCAGCGAGATGATAAAGTTAATAATAATGCAGCGTCAATATTCCAGGTGAAACTGTCGATATTAAGGTAGCATTGATATTTCCAGTGAATCTGTCGATACTAAGGTAGCGTTGATCTTCAATGTGAATCTGTCGATGTTAATGCATGTTTAACATTCCAGGTGAATCTTTCGAACATAAGGTGACGTTAATACTCAAGGTAAATCTGTCGATGCTGAGGTAGCGTTGATCTTCAATGTGAATCTATCGATGTTAATGCATCTTTAATATTCCAGGTGAATCTGTCGACACTAAGGTAGCGTAAATATTCCAGGTGAATCTGTCGACACTAAGGTAGCATTAAATATTCCAGGTAAATCTGTCGACACTAAGGTAGCATTAATATTCCAGGTGAACCTGTCGACACTAAGGTAGCGTAAATATTCCAGGTGAATCTGTCGACACTAAGGTAGCGTAAATATTCCAGGTTAATCTGTCGACACAACGGCAGAGTAAATATTCCAGGTGAATCTGTCGACACTAAGGTAGCGTTAATATTCCAGGTCATAAAGTTAATAATAATGCAGCGAGATGATAAAGTTAATAATAATGCAGCGTCAATATTCCAGGTGAAACTGTCGATATTAAGGTAGCATTGATATTTCCAGTGAATCTGTCGATACTAAGGTAGCGTTGATCTTCAATGTGAATCTGTCGATCTTAATGCATGTTTGATACTAGTATTCAACGCGAATCTGTCGAACACAAGGTGACGTTAATACTCAAGGTGAATGTGTCGATTATGAGGTAGCGTTGATCTTCAATGTGAATCTGTCGATGTTAATGCATGTTTAATATTCCAGGTGAATCTGTCGAACATAAGGTAACGTTAATACTCAAGGTGAATCTGTCGATACAATGGAGCGTTGATCTTCCACGTTAATCTGTCGACAGCGTTAAGCATCCAGGTGAATCTGTTAACAATAAAGTAGAGATAATCTTCCAGGTGACTACAGGGTGAATGACTGCACCGCCGACGGCTGCACCCCCTGCTCAGCCAGCTGCGTCGGACTCCCCGACGGCGACGTCCCCTACCCCAACATGCACTTCACTCGCTTCTACCTCAACTGCAGGGGAGGACGCACGGTGAAGATCAAACGTTGTACTATCCCTAGGATATTCTCAATAGCCCAGAGAACATGTGCCAACCCTGAAGACGTTGGTAAGCAATTCCATTACGTTTTCTGTAAGCTTTATCCGTCAGACTCATTTTGGATTTAGCAAATGCTGACTAATATTAGTGAGTGAGTGAGTTTGGTTTTACGCCGCTTTTAGCAATATTCCAGCAACATCACGGCGGGGGACACCAGAAATGGGCTTCACACATTGTACCCATGTCGGGATTCGAACCCGGGTTTTCGGCGTGACGAGCGAACGCTTTAACCACTAGGCTACCCGACCGCCCCCTGACTAATATTAAATAACATTTTCATTTCTATAAGTTTTTAAACAGTTCTTTTCTGAAATATCATCCCGAATGACCTAGCATTTAAACTTCGCTAAATGTTTGTCTAATAATCATACTTTACTGCTCTGAAAAATATATTATATTATTAACCTGACACTTTGCAGAAAAAACACTAAATTAACTTTTTCACGACTTAGTACCCTATACACACGTGGATGAAGAAGAGTCGGTTATAGCGAATTAGAAATATCGATATCGTCAATATCTTGATATCACATTTGTGTCAATATTTCACATCCTATTGCTAACTTTCTCTTATTCTTTTCTGTGTGTAATAGTTTTCTCTAAAAGTGTATGGGACTTATGGGTAATTGAATAGTACATGCATTTCTATATTTATTTTAAACAATTGTGCATAACATGTCATATTTGGCCTACTTTATCTTAAAATTCCTAATATGTTGTAAGTTATAATTTATTCAGTTGTATTTATATTTTAACCCAGAAATGCATGACATTTCAAAGGTTTTCCGCATTAATGGTTGTGAGACTGTGCCTTCGTGCTGGGCGACCATGTGGCCTGAATAGGCTAATGTTTGTTTTCTTGTGTGTTTGATAATCTAAAAACATACATTAAATCTAGATCGAAGTGCCACGTTACCGCTACCTGCTGCTGTGACTACGACTGTATCAACAGCGTCACCGACCACATCAACAGTGTCAATACCTTCTCCAACCACTGCTCATTCCACAACCGATTCATCCTCGACCACCCCTGCTGGCGCAACACCATCAGCTTCAACTGCATCTACTGCAACTATAACACCAACGTCTTCAGCCACTGCAGGATCAACATCTGCTTCAACAACAGTAGCGATAACACCACAGTCTACTACTACTACTACTACTATCACCACCACTACTTCTATACCTACTACTACTACCACTACAACTACTATTACTACTACTACTACTACTACTACAACAACTACTACTACACAATCCCCATCTACCACTACAGCGCCAACTACCACAGTTACCACCACACCATCTTCTACAACTACGCCAACGTCGACAGCACCGACGACACCATTCACTGTAAATCCCAATTGTGGATGTAAGCCGGAGCTTAGTCCAATCGTCAGAACCCTCAATGAAGTCCTACCAAAGGTCAATGCCCTCTCGGCTAGAATGGACAATGAAGGTTTGGACATTATATTTTCATCACTAACGGCATGAATAGTCAATCATCAAAGGCTTTGCTCCCTTATTGTCTACAAATATATAATCAAATATCCTTGGGACTGCCTCCGTGGTCTAGTGGTAGAGCGTCCACCCGGAGAGCGGAAGGTCCGGGGTTCGATCCCCGGCCACGTCATACCAAAAGACGTTAATAGATGGTATCTGTCTGGTATCTTTCTGGCGCTCGGCATTAAGGGACTAAAACAAGGACTGGTCGGCTCGGAGTCAGTATACTGTGTCTGAGTGGGGTATTCATGTTAAACTGCGGCATGGTATCTCAGTGAGCTAGCACTATAAATCGGCATCAGTCCGGACTAGTACAAGCAGCCACACAAACACACACACACACACGTACATGCACGTCGCTATATAAGTGCAATAATCTTGGACGCGACATTAAATCCTATTTCACCTCACTACATTTTACCTCATATCCTTGTATATTTATCACTCTATATGTATCTACTAATCTGTATAATAAACGGAGTGGCCCAGTCGTCTAAGACGGAGAGATTCGATGTGCAGAATTACGTCCCCTTGTCGCCCTGATTATGTTTCAAGATCTGTCAGCACCATGTTCATGTTCGTGATTTTCAATCGAAAATCGGCAGTTTGGGGCAGAGGTTTCTAAGAATAGGGAAACGGTTCTGCTGCTTGTATTCACCAAAGTGTCAAAGAACTGCATCACATCGGGCTTTCCTCTCATACAAAGCTGACCGCTGCGTAGATCGGGTGGCCAGGCCCGGTGATTTGGTTGACTGGTGTCATCGCACCCTGGTAGTATGGGACATTACTCCTAAAATCAACCACTGGTTTATCTGGTCTAAACTCAATTATTTTCAGGTCGACGTCATACAGCTAAATTATTGCTGAGCGCCGTGTTACACAAAAAAACAACGTTTGATCAGCCACTCGTTTTTGCTTTCTTTCAGTGCGTCCTCCCTTCAGCTGTGACACACCCCCAACACTTGCTGACAGTCACGTGAAGGTAGGCTTGCAAAACATCTTTTCAACATTTATAATAAAGTGATTCGTTGATCCATTGTGTTGAGACTTTGATTCTGTCTTCGATGCGGGCAAATACTATTTGGTTGCTGCTACGGCAACATTCTTTTATTGGTTTTAACTGTAAAAGAATGGTGTTATTTCTTTATGTTTCAAAGCCTGTGAAGATTCAGGTTAAAAAAATGGTCTTCAGCAACCCTTGCTTGCCGTAAAAGGCGACCATGCTTGTCGTAAGAGGCGACTAACGGGATCGGGTGGTCAGGCTCGCTGACTTGGTTGACGCATGTCATCAATACTCATGATGTCAATGATAGCTGGAATAATGCTGAGTGCGGCCTTTAACAACAAACAAATTAAACTCGGGCTACATTCTTATTTCGTGAACGTCGCCCAGCTGTCGTACGCCCCCGACAACGCAGTTGCCACGTACACGTGTGATGAGGGACATGCGCCCTGTTTTGCTGGCATGACAAGCACATGCAGCTCGGACAACATGTGGACACTCCAGTCTTTGGGTCAGTGTGTCCAGAATACCTGGACCAATCAAGTAGGTCACTCATCTGTTTATCGCTTGGTTCATAAAGTGTCAAACTACAAACAAGTCGGGATGGATTTATTGAACTTCGAATTCTATGTAAATCAGACATGAAATTAGGCTGAGAAACAAATGGGTCGTTGTCGGTGCCAATCTAGAACTCTAACCAAATAACCACAAGACCGGCCACCGCACTATTTGATCACTGACTTTAGCGCTACAGGTAGTGATCATTTACTGTAGGGTTTCTCTGTGTCAAATTAATAATAATAATAATAATAATAATAATAATAATAATAATAAAAATGATGATGATGATGATAAAAGTAATAGTAAGAAGAGGAAGAAGAAGTAAAGTTACATATATTCTAGAATATCGAATTGCATTCCACTGTTATAATATGCGATTATATTATATGAGATTTCTGTTTGTCACCCCAGCCTGCACAAGTCGGCGCCCGCACCCTGTGTCCCCCAAGGCCTGGGAGCGTGTGGGCTTTTACCGGACGATACACACGTGATAAGTAAGTTAGGTGGTAGACACTCCCACACCTGATTTTGTTTGTTTGTATGTTGTTTAACGCTGCACTCAGCAATATTCCAGCTATATGACGGCGGTATGCAAATAATCGAGTCTGGACCAGACAATCCAGTGATTGACGTCATGACCATCGATCCGCGCAATTGGGATACGATGACATGCATCAACCAAGTCAGCGAAACTGACCACCCGATCCCGTTATTTGCCTCTTACGACAAGCATAGTCGCCTTTAAGGCAAGCATGGGTTGCTGAAGACGTATTCTACCTCGGATCTTCACGGGTATCTCGACGTAATTAGTAACACGTGTGAAACTAATATATTGTCTCTACTTTATAAGGATAATCATATATACATAACACAGTTTGAGTTACCTGTAAAACCTGTATGAGATAATTCAGAATCAAACTTGCGAGGACTGCCAGTTGCCCAGAGTCTAGTACCCCTTTAACGTGATTCGGTCGTCTTAGGCACCGCAATTCGCCGTGCAGAGTTGCGTTCCTTGGGCACGCCAGAAACCTATGATTGTGGGTTCGAATCCCGGCTCACCCCGATTATGTTACTAGGTCTGTCAGCACCATACCAGTGCTCGTGGGTTTCACCGAAGTGGTAAACGTCTGAGGCATATTAATCTGACACGCCGTGATGTAACTAGAATACTGTTCAAAGCGACGTTAACCCAACTCTCTTTAACTTTATTCCTTCATTTCATTTCAGGGGGCACTGGCGGCCCTGTCGTCTAAGGCGCCGCGATTCGCTGTGCAGAGTTGCGTCCCTTAGGCACGCCAGAAACCTATGATTTTGGGTTCGAATCCCGGTTCGCCCCAATTATGTTTCTAGGTTTGTCAGCACCATACCCGTGCTCGTGGGTTTCACCGAAGTGGTAAACGCCTTAGACCTGCATCACTTCGGGCTTTCCTCCAACATTAAGCTGACACGCCGTGATATAACTGGAATACTGTTAAAAGCGGCGTTAAACCCAACTCACTCACTCACTCATTTCATTTCAGGAGTTTAATGGCTATCAGCAGCAATGAGACGTCCACAGACATCCTCAGTATAACTGTGATCCCAAGGGGAAAAAAAGTTGCCTTCCAGGCTCTGAAGTCCGACATCACAACCGTTCCGTCACCAGTGGAGTTGACAGGTGACCTTGACTGGACGGTGGAGTTGAGAGAGACATCTTTCGAGGTGAGTGTGATGAGGTGGTCTGAAGACTCTCATTCAAGGGAGAAGCGCCCGTTAATCAAAACGTTTCACTTCCTGACATTGTTCGGATTAACAAATATGAGCTGTACGAAACAGAGGTAGATCTTAATGACCATTCAATACCATGACATAATCCTCCAGACCCGTGAAGATCCGGTGTAGAATAGGTCTTCAGCAACCCATTCTTGCTGTAAAAGACGACTATGCTTGTCGTAAGAGGCGACTAACGGGATCGGGTGGTCAGGCTCGCTGTCTTGGTTGACGCATGTCATCGATCCGAATTGTGTGGATCGATGCTCATGATGTTAATCACTAGATTCTCTGGTCCAGATTCGATTCCCATTAGCATGTGTGTATTATGTAAACAATATTTTTAGGGAAACTTTTTATATCAAAATATATTGTTAAAAATAAAAACTATGAAGATGCATTCTTTGAGTGCTGACTAAGCGCCAATATCGCTAACTTGAGATATTTTCAATTGAAAACCAAACACATTTTAAAATCAACTGAAAGGTACAGTTTTGTCTTTCAATTTATGTTACACCGTAGGAACTTGAATTTTTTTATTGAAATTATGAGATGGTATTCCTTTGTTACGAGACATCCCTATTGTACAAACACCAGCGGTGAAAAAGCCAAATATAGACACATACTCCCATCTGCGATGTCGTATTTCAGTGGAATGTTCTCTGCGATCGACAATTTATTTATATGCAGTCTCATTTAGAGTTGAACACATCTCTAAGGCAATAAATATTAGTTTAAATAATAATTGTTAGATGACATAAATAATAAGAACAAGTTATCCCAATAAAAGACCGGCGTCCTTAGTGGACTGTCCTTATATAGACTTGCCTATTATAAGGATGGAACACATCAATCAGTCTAGCCTTGGAGCAAGGCTAAGTCTCAGAATGATGTTGTCTTTGCAACCGCTACATAGTGTAGGATAAAGTACGTCCGAGGGTTTTTATGTTCAAACCAGCATCCGCGGGTTAAGGGTTTTAAATATCATAAAAACTCGAGGGAAGTGTTATATCTAACTTATAAACCGAAAACAGAAACTTAAAACAACATTTATCAACATTTTTATGTTTAAAACATACTTAAAACGTCGCAAATCATCAGTTCCTGTGTAGCCTTGTGTACACTTACTGGGCTACAGATACGGAAGTTGCCTGTTCGATCCTCGTGAATATACATTTAATTTTACATTTCATGATATTTTATTAAAACTATATTTCTAGCAAGGAAAATTCACATCTTACAATCTAAGCGGAAGTTGTATACATAAAATCCCAGGGAGAGAGAAAGATATATATAACTACAGATCCCTACCTCCTACATATCTGTATGGCCAGATGTTTGCGATAGTCATACACATCTTGTCGTGTCGGGGGCACGGGTGGCCCAGTCGTCTTAGGCGCCGCAATTCGCTGTGCAGAGTTGCCTCCCTTGGGCACGCCAGAAACATATGATTGGCTCGAATCCCGGTTTGCCCCGAATATGTTTCTAGGTTTGTCAGCACCATACCCGTGTTCGTGGGTTTCACCGAAGTGGTAAACGTCTGAGACCTGCATCACCTCGGGCTTTCCTACCACATTAAGCTGACACGCTGTGATATAACTGGAATACTGTTAAAAGCGGCGTTAAACAAACTCACTCACTCTTGTCGTGTCCAAACATAATCACCATACCGTGCTCTTGGGGTTCATCAAAGACCAGCATCACTTCAACATCAGTACGCTGGTCATAGTACACTGATAAATCGCCATTATATAACTGCAATATTGATCAAAGTGGCGTCAATTAACGTCACTCGCTGTAGAGCTACATGCCTTAAAGGAAGCGAATGTATTTATTGTTTGTAATAAAGAAAACGCATTACCCTTGTAGGTCGCCGTCAATGGCCACTTTGTGGCCAGCATTCCCCACAGCGAGCCCGTGAATCGGATGGACACTCTCATCTTTACAGATTCGTTCCCGACCAGCCGGATAGTGTTCCATCTCAATGGCGATCCCCACAACACCCCCGGGAAGTGTAAGTGAGTTGTGGCACCAGGAGTCATGCCCGGTGATGCATCAGCGACCTTTAGTGTGTAACCAGATATAACGTGCTTATAAGAATAAGCACAAGCACACGCACACGCACACGCACACGCACACGCACATCCTCACATAAATCTACATCCGTGCAAACATTCACACCCACACTCTAACCCTAACCCTAACCCAAATATACATCAACCCATACAGACATCCGCATCCGCAGACATCCACACCCACACAAACTAACATCAAAATCAAAATCCACATGCACGTTCACATCCACATTCACATTCACATCCACATCCACGTCCACATCACATTCACACCCACAAGACCACATCGTAGCTTTTCAAAAGGTGATATGGAAAGTCTGATCACACTCAGCCGTTACCGTGACCTTCATGATCATGACGTTAACAGCTGTATCCGTATAGTAGTCCATGTCATACAAAGCATACCCATATCTACCATTGTTTTTAACGTAGAATATTTGTCATTTTAAATTTGGCTAACATTGCATTTCATCGCCAGCGGCTGAAGGGGTGGTGTAAATCCTACTGGGGAACCGCGCAGATAGCAGAAGTATCGTTAGTCCCCACGGTCCATAGTATAGTGGCCTAACTTTGGTTGCTGGCGATCGATAGCCCTTTTGTATAGTGCACTGTTATAAACAGTAATATTTATATGGTTTCATGCAACTTTTAAATCTCAATTTGTGACAAGTCTAGTTATTTTACTGTCCCTTGACAAACTTTTATAGTTTAAATGTATTTATTGAGTATAACCTTTGAAAGTTACGATATGGCTTAAATACTGCAGATGTGACTTAGGATTTTAACTCACTCACTCACTCACTCACTCACTCACTACAGCTGTATCATTTGAGATAGTACATGTAATACAGCTGGACGGCACTCCATCCACGTGACAAGTATATCTAAAAAAATGGAAGTTCGTTTGATTCAAGAGAAGCGACACCGTCCGAAATATCGGTAGTTTCATAAATTTGCAGTGTTATAATTTATACGTATTAGGTACTCGGCCTACCTCAGTCCCACAGGTCAGATCGCCCAGCTGTGGCTGAATGCATATTGGATTTACAAGTTTCACTCGTTCACGTTACTATCACATTACCCAACACGACATGGTCGTACTCGTAACCCTTATATAAAAATAGCTTGATATCAAATTATATCCCGAATTTCTATTACCGTAAAAATCGGCCTTTATATGCGTGTCACATTTCCTTTCCTGCCCGAGATATTATGTAGGGAGCGGAATACGTCTGAGTGGTGATATTAGCTTGGTTCACATCAGTTTCATAAGATATGTGATAAAGGTACTAGTTCAAAACGATGGATTTGACGCATTAGAAATACACACAATATTATTAGTATTAGTAGTAGTAGTAGTAGTATTAGTTGTAGCGTTATTATTAGTAAATAAATGCAGCAAAGAGGCTTTGGGTGATCCTGGCACAGACAGGCTGGTTAGGCTAATCATCAGCTCAGGGTCCTTGCCCCCTCTACACGCAACCCAGACAGCGAATGAAACGTCTCCAAGGAAGCCCTGCATAGTCGAACCCACTCAGAATTTTTCGGAATGGAAAGACTTCCCCACACTGCAGCCTTCTGCATTACCCAGATTATTATTATTGTTGTTGTTATATATCGTACAGACGCCATAAGTGGGAACCTTGCTTTCAAGAAGAAAACATCCTCCTCGTCCAGTAGAGTCGGGCACCCGTCAAGTAGAGTAACTGACGGTATGACAATCGTTGACTGGCAGCAAGATTCATGCTGGTCGGTGAGTGAAGGGGACAGCAACCCCTGGTGGATGGTTGACCTTGGCAGCGTCTACTACATCAACCACCTCGTCCTCACGAGCAGACACTGCGACAGCACTTGTGGTAAGCTTTGCAACATCGGACCTATGTAACCTCTCATTCTTAGACCTAAAATAGTGACGAGAATGAGTATTGTTTTATACCGCTTTTTGCAATTTTCCATAAAAATATCGGCGGACTCTCATAATGGGTGTTGGGGCACGGGTGGCTCAGTCGTCTAAGGCGCCGCGATTCGCTGTGCAGAGTTGCGTCCCTTAGGCACGCCAGAAACCTATGATTGGTTCAATTCCCGGTTCGCCCCGATTATGTTTCTGGGTTTGTCAACACCATACCCGTGCTCGTGGGTTTCACCGAAGTGGTAAACGTCTGAGACCTGCATCACTTCGGGCTTTTCGTCCCACATTAAGCTGACACGCCGTGATATAACTGGAATACTGTTAAAAGCGGCGTTAGACCGAACTCACTCACTCACTCACTCATAATGGGTGTCTATTGTACGGGGAGTTTTAAATGGATCAGCGTGACAAGCAAGGTTTTAATGATTTCGACCACTTGCTTTCTTTTCGCCAGATGTCTTATCAGAGCAACTCCTTTTGTGAGGTCAACTGTCGTAGAATATACATAAACAGACATCACATTAAATCTGGAATGACCGGAGAATACGTCCCTACAACCCAATGATATTGTTTTGGGGTGTTTAACGCTGCACTCAGCAATATTTCAGCTATAGACCAGAGAATCCAGTGATTGACACCATGACCATCGATGTTCGCCGTTAGGATATGATTACATTGATAACCTAGTTAACGAGCCTGACCTCCCGATCCCGTTGGTCCCAATGGAATTGTTCTTTGAATGAGTGAGTGAGTTTGGTTTAACGCCGCTTTAAGCAATATCACGGCGGGGGACACCAGAAATGGGCTTCACAAATTGTACCCATGTCGGGATTCGAATCGGGGTCTTCTACTTGACGAACGATGCTTTAACCACGAGGCTACCCGACCGCCCCTTTAATGAGTGAGGGGGGCATGGGTGGCCCAGTCGTCTAAGGCGCCGCGATTCGTTGTGCAGAGTTGCGTCCCTTGGGCACGCCAGAAACCTATGATTGTGGGTTCGAATCCCGGTTCGCCCCGATTATGTTTTTAGGTTTATCAGCACCATACCAATGCTCGTGGGTTTCACCGAAGTGGTAAACGTCTGAGACCTGCATTACTTCGGGCTTTCTTCCCACATAAGGCTGACACGCCGTGATATAGTTGAATAATGTTAAAAGCGGCGTTAAACTCAACTCACTCACTCACTCACTTTAATGAGTGAGTCATGGGTGATCCCGCCTGAGATGTAGTGTAGCCAGAAGCAACATTAGGGTTGGACAATTCATTCTTTCCGCTTGATGAAGTGTACGTGGTCTACCGCTAGACCGAAGGGCTAGCAGTGTCCTTAATGCAAAGCCATATGTGCTTTACGATTATCATATCAGGGTGAAGATGTACAAGATAGCCTTATCCAAACTACTGCAGGACCCGTGAAGATCCGGGGTAGAATAGGTCTTCGGCAACCCATGCTTGCTTAAAGGCAACTATGCTTGTCGTAAGAGGCGACGAACGGGATCGGGTGGTGAGGCCCGCTGACTTGGTTGGTGCATGTCATCGATCCCAATTGTGGTGGCTGATGCTCATGATATTAATCACTGGATTGGCTGCTCCTAACTCGATTATTTACAAACCGCCGTATTATAGCTGGAATATTGCTGAGTGAGGCGTTAAACAACAAACCAACAAGCCTATTTTAAGGTATGGGAGTTAAGATCGCCTTTGCGCTTAGATTATATTTTGACAAGAGGGGTGGTTTCAACTTTCCCTTCATGTGGAGCAATATTCCAGCAGCTCCTGCCTTTGGTGTCTACATTTCACAACTTTTGATGGACAGTCGAGCAAGATTTCAAAGAGCGTCAAACGACTCTTGCTCTGCTCTTGCAATATCTGTCAGCTCGCGTTGTTAAATACAACCACCCATCTTTTATCTGCAGCAAATCGCCTTCATGACTTTGAGATCGAGGTTTTTAAAGAAGATCCTTCCGTCAATACTACGGCGGTAGGAGCTCGGTGTACCATGTACGTTGGTGCCGTGCCGGATGGCAGCATCCAGAAGGTTACGTGTGATGAGGAGGTTGTTGGTAGATTTGTTAGGATATCTGGGAGGAACCCAGCAGACAACGCCGATGTTCTGACACTTTGCGAGGTGGAGGTGTATGGCGGTATACGCCGAACAGGTGAGTGAAAGGTGGGGGCTGTGAACAGATTGACCTTACACCGGTAACACTATACCATAGGGACCTAATCTTTGTTGCACCGGCAGCGCACGTGGGTCGTCTGCTCGAGAGACATGGGTGACAATGAGATGAATTCATGAATAAAAGTAAACTCCCCTGCTCTATATGTTTGAAGGGTGAGGTTACTACAGCTATTGTGGGCATTCTGACTCCTCCAATAGACGCAACACCATTGCGAAACCATAGCAAAAATACTATCGTAATAGACGAAACACCGTGATCGCAATTATTGAGATACAATCTAAATCAATCTTATTAAGTCAGATCTTAGTTCTCGCTACCGCTTGATAAAGATCTGAGGAAATCCCATTACGGGTCACGTCAGACCGAACTTTCGCGAACTTTGACCGACCAATTGAATAGCAAACAAGAAGTCGACAATAGCCAATAAGAAGGCAGCTTAATCGAGCATTACGGCACGAGTTTCAAACTGGCGACTATGCTTCGAAACATATTTTGACATATACTCGATTAAAAAATGAAAAATTGAACTAAAGAACATTCTGGAGTGGCTAACAGATGGTCTAGATTGTGTGAATACAGACATAAAGCCCATAACTCTCGTTCGGAATAGCCTGTTTGGTTTTTTTTCGAGGTTGCACAATAAAAAATCACATTCCGACTGTCACTTTCATGATCTGCTAAGCGATGCTCTGATTGGTCAGATGAAAGGTCGTTCTGACATGTCCGGCAATGGGATGTCAGATCTTTGTTTAGAGGTAGCGAAAACTAAGATCTGATTTTAATGAGATTGCTATCAATATTAGTTTCTTAGCTCTTGGCCAAGGACATACTCGCCTGTAGTTTTGTAGGTTTAAAAAACGTCTGCTCGGGGTTTTTTTTCATTTGAAACGATCGACAGGCTAGCATGGTATCAATGTCATATGTTGATAGTTACATTGTCAGCAATGTTTTGATATCAGCGTTTGGACAATTGCAATGCATATTTTGATGACACAGATACAATATTTATGCAGTCGGTAATTCTCGGGAGGGGCATGAAAACATGAATGTTACATAAAATGGGGGTTTCGCAACATATGAATGATACAGTCCTAAGACCAGTCGCATCGCCCATTCTACACCCCCAACCCAACCCTCTCTTATAACACATAACTTTCTCTCATGTCTTTTGGAAGCAGGAACTCTCAGACGTTAGCCAAAATGAATAGGATAGAACTGTTCTTGCTCAGGTAGTTGTGCTACTTCGTCTTACAACCATTTCAGGCTGGTCACCGTTCGAGTGCCCCAACCCCCCTCTGCTGACCGGTGCCGCCGTGACAGTCTCCCACACCAACACGAGGGCTGTTGCGAAGTACACGTGTAGTCACGGCGCCATGGTGTGTGCCGGACATGACGTCATACACTGTTCCAGCCAGGCGGGATGGGACAGAGAACCCGGAAGCTGCGTACAGACTTCTCTAGATGCTGGAAAGCCCGGAAGTGTATGCATAACTTTATTTGTCCCATTTTGACATGGTTTCTTTGATATGTTTTCAGTCATTTCACTCTTGTCTCTAATATCTGTCATCGCGAATCCAGTGTTACTACTGAAAAGCATGTTACAGTTGAAATGTAACAGTTGTAATACGATTTGAATTATTGACAGGTTACATTTCTGCAACATCTCTTCGCCTTTATCCAACATGTCAACAGAAAACATTAAAAACGTTAGTCGGGGTGTTAGTGACATTAATCGATTCACACAAAAAGCTTTGTTGCCTTATAACAGTACTGTGGTTGACCCGAGCTGAAGAAACGCTGACATTTGGTCTCCGTGACTTCGAGTTTTATTGTATTTCACAATGGTGTGATTTTTGTGGGTATTATGTATCCCAACTGAATATTACAGCGTGATAAGACTGTTCAGCTCTGAAAATAAAATGTAAGTACCCTAGTCAATGAGTTAATAATTCTAAGATGACAAGAGTTTACTTTTCCCTCAGCTGAGGAATCACAAGACAGTTTCGACATATAGACGTGCTAGGAACCTTTTGGTAGCCCCCAATCTTTCCTCAGTTATTTTGAATTGAAACCAAAATCAAGTATTTTCCCAACCCATGGTAAAATTTATATAACGTGTAAGTTCGGCAGCGTACATTACATTTGAAACTTCAAGCTCAATCTAGCGTTGTCAAATCTACAGATAACATACCTCTAAATTCTTTTGGTATCGCCTTACTTACTCACTGACGGTTAAGAGATTTATTCATGATTCCAGCTGGAAGATTTCCCTATCTGTCCGCTCGCCCTGGGGGGCAGCCTGGAGCTCTGGGTCACGCCCACGGAAGATGAGTACGTCACGCATGGTTTCCTAAAGCATAGGAAATGTGGGAGCCATCTAGACTGGAGCACGTGTGCGTGCGTGCGTGCGTGCGTGCGTGCGTGCGTGCATGTGTCAAGATGCTTGATGGTTTTTTTTAATATTTTATGCGCACTTTTGAAATTATGTTAGTCTTTGATTCATATTTGAAACGGGGAATACTTCCAGTCTAACATATTGTATTGAGACTCGTGAGCACAATGTAGAGAGTCATGCATGAGAACTTTCATGCAACAGTGCACTGCAATATATTTGTTTTCAAAATCATGATGGTCGTCGCCTTTGATTGAGAATATTAATAATTTAGATAAAGAGACAATAAGTTCTAAGTGTTGTCATAATGTCCGTTAATGAAATGACATGTCTGGGCATTTGCCTAAACCTACTGTCAATGTCGTTGGAGTCTATCTCTCAATTTTGTTAATGTGGTATGTGGTTTATTGAAAACAAGACATGAACTTAATGGTTCCCCTTTTATTTGTCAAGGGGGTCGCTGATCCTTCATGGTGAGTCTGGTGCAACTCTGTCCGGCAGCATGACCCTACAGAACGCCACTGCTCCCGTCAGCCTCAGCTACAGCGTGTCAGGCTCACCTTCCCCGGCAGTGTACCCGGCATCAAACCCTTTCACAAAGAACAAAGAATCACACATTGTCATAAGCCATCTCACCAAGTCTTTATTGGTATGTTACCATGCAGGCCGCAATATATGTTATTGATGGTTGTAATTGATTCATTAACAAGGTGAGGTGAGGTGAAAGGGGGTTTAACGTCGCGTCCAAGATTATTGCACTTATTTAGCGACGTGCATGTACGTGTGTGTGTGTGTGTGTGTGTGTGTGTGTGTGGCTGCTTGTACTAGTCCGGACTGATGCCGATTTATAGTGCTAGCCCACTGAGATACCATGCCGCAGTTTAACATGAATACCCCACTCAGACACAGTATACTGACTCCGAGCCGACCAGTCCTTGTTTTAGCCCCTTAATGCCGAGCGCCAGACAGGGTAAGATTCATTAACAAACCAAGGCGTATCAAGTGAAAGCATTATATTCATCTATTTTAAGTAAGGAACGCCGCTGTCAAGAGATTTTTTTCAAGAGTGAGTGAGTGAGTGAATTTTGAACAATACTTCAGAACTTAAATATTTAAAGAACTTCAAAAGGGACGCATCATCATTGTTTTTATTATCATCACCATCATCATCATCATCATCATCATCATTATTATTATCATTATTATTATTATTATTATTATTAATAATAATAATAATAATATCCGCAGATTGAAGTAGATGGAGCCACCCTCTACAATTACCCCATTGATGACTTTAGTTCTGAAAATGTAAACGTCGTCACTTGGACAGCCGGCCTCAGTGTCAGGAAGGCGACGTTCTCACAGACCATGAGGAAGGAACTGGATCGAGGTAACTGTCAGGAATGAAGCACGATGAATTAATCACGACACAAACACAACAGACAATAAATTCCTGAAACGAAAGTAGTGAACCCACCCCCTCCTTCTCCCCTGTAAGTCAGTTATACGTCACTGTGGGTGTTAATGCTTGGACATTTAGAAATTTTCCTGATACACAGTTGACCATACAATACAGGGGAGAATGATATAGAGGTGGGTGTGCTGACGCTGGGTTTCGGAAACAAAAATTCAAATTAAATTCTCTGAAAGGGGGAGCCGAGCAATACATTTCTTTCGCAAACGGTTGTTTTGTTTGGAGTGATCGAGTGTGGTTTTGTGTTTTTTAGCAATATTCAAGCAATATCACGACAGGGGACACCAGAAATGAGCTTCACACATTATACCCATGTCGGGAATAGAACCATGGTCTTTGACGTGAAGAACGCTTTAATCACTAGGCTACCCAACCGCCCCTTGTTTTGTTTTTTGAAGACCTGAGGCAAAATTAAGTTTTTCTGGAACAAACTATATTTTCAAATAATTCTAGTTTCCCAATCACTACATGTACTATTAATTCGGGTTTTGAACACTTGACGTTTACCTCTTTGACGATTGTCACTGCGTCTGAATCCCTGGCATAAACTACCGGGCAAAAGAAAGTGTACCCTTGACAATTAGAGAAGACCAAATATCATACAAACATTATCAAAACGTTACTCGGCTGAAAACAGTCGCCGGAACATAGAAAACCGAAGGTGCAAAACACAATTATAATACCCTGTCAACTACATCACCATCGAATGACCATTTTTAGTTTGTTTCATTTTTAGCCACCATCAAACGTGGGTGAAAACTTACTTTTGCCCGGCAGATGATGAATAGATAGTGGAAATATGTTTCGTTCCAGTGAAACCTCGATTAACTCGGGGTCCCGATGATCATGAAAGGTATCGACTTATCCCTAGATTGGAACAAGCGGAGTGCCGATATAAAACCGTAGCGCCGATCAGGGCGGCATTTTCAATATTGTCGGAATAAAAAGAAAAAAAATAGCTTCGTGCCAATTGGCTGTCGTCTTTCGTCATTCAAAACATTCAAAACACAACTTTAATGATATAAATCAATCAAGCAGTTTCCCATGTAACACACATTATCATATATTGGAAAGTAATATCGATGCGATAAACCAATCCGATAAACTTGATATCATGATCCGATATATATGCAAATGAGATCATCTAGCAGGAGACCCATGAAGATCCGGGGTAGATTGGTCTTCAGCAACCCATGCTTGCGTAAAAGGCGACTTTCCTTGTCGTAAGAGGCGACTAAAGGATCGGGTGGTCAGGCTCGCCCACTTGGTTGATGCATGTCATCGTATCCCAATTTAATCGATGCTCATGATGTCAATCACCGGATTATTTGGTCCAGATTCGATTATTCACAGACCGCCGTCATATAGCTGTAATATTGCTGAGTGCCTATTATATGGTATCTGGTGCGGCTTTATACAACAAACAAACAATGTTAAAGAATACCAGGTTCTTATATATCACTATAGTTACTCTGTCGAGGGATGACAGATTAACTATCTAATGTATCTTTTGTTTGTTTGTTTTGTTTGTTTGTTTGTTATTTAACGCCGCGCTCAGCAATATTCCAGCTATATGACGGCGGTCTGTAAATAATCGAGTCTGGACCAGACAATCCAGTGATTGACAGCATGAGCATCGATCCACGCAATTGGGATCGATGACATGCATCAACCTAGTCAGCGAGCCTGACCATCCGATCACGTTAGTCGCCTTTGACGACAAGCATAGTCGCCTTTTACGGTAAGCATAGTCGCCTTTTACGACAAGCATAGTCGCCTTTTACGGCAAGTATCGGTTGCTGAAGTATCTACTATCCTAGTGAAAACAAACTCGGCTAATAATCTCTATACATCACATATACAACATGGTCCATGTCATATGCCATACAGTGGCGCATATAGCCTCTCTTCAAACGGTGTATCGAATGAAAGAAGTTCCTGTTAACAGTATCTCATACGGTATCCTTTGTTTTGATAGCTATTTGAGTATAATGATCTTGAACACTTGAATTGGAAGAGAGAGTTCCTTTCCAAAATATTGATGTCGATGATTCATAAATGTTGATGTGTGCTTATTTCAAAATTTCACGCATGGCCCTATCGTCTAAGACGCTGCAATTCACTGTGCAGAGTTGTGTCCCTTTGGTACGCCAGAATGATCGTTGGCCCAGATTATGTTTCTAGGTTTGTCAGCACTACACCCGTCCTCGTGGGTTTCACCAAAGTGGTAAACGTCTCAGACCTGCATCACTTCGGGCTTTAAGCTTACACGCCGTGATATAACTGGAATACTGTTCAAAGTGGCGTTAAACCCAACTCACTCACGATTTTAAAAAGTCCAAAAGTGGAATGACTTCCTTCCCGAGAATATTTCTTGATGTTTAACATTGTTATGGATTGATAGGGATGGTGCTCCTGATTGTTGGCATGGGCCCACTTGCACAAAGATATCTTAGCGCTAAGAATATCGTAAGCCTATGTTAAAGTATGGGAGTTACGATCATCTTAGCGCTAAGATCGCTTTGTGCAAGTGGGTCATGGTGTCTATACGCATGGTATGTTGGAAATAACATTTGGATGGTTTAGAAACGTTTTGAACTGATCACTTCTGTTGGCATTCTTTCCACAGAGAGAATACAGTTCAATATGGCGTTGAATGCATTTGTGGACGCCAGCAGTACTGACAACGTCCCCACGTCATACGGCGTTGACGGTGACCCGAACATGACCTCAACCAAAGACACCGACAACGACTCGTGCTGGCGAGGTCAGAAGACGGATCATAAGCAGTGGTACCAGGTCGACCTGGGGAAACAAGTTTACATCCGGGACATTGGGATCAACATTAAAAATCAGTGCATCACATGCGGTAGGTCTTATCATATCTTTGTTCTGGCATACGGCTTATTGAATCCTTCATTATCCAAAAATTCATTTCAATTCCACTATAGGGAACGCACTGAGCCTATTCGCCACCTACCCAAGTGAAGAAGCAGAAGAGTGGCGACTAACGGGATCGGGTGGTCCGGCTCGCTGACTTGGTTGAAGCATGTCATCGTATCCCAATTGCATGGGTCGATGCTCATGATATCAATCACTGGATTGTCTGATCCAGATTATCCACAGACCGCCGCCATATAGCTGAATTATTACTGAGTGTGGTGTTAAACAACAAACAAATCCTGTCTATTGCAGCAACAAGACTCCATGACTTCTCCGTGTTGGTGTACACCCTGAACCCAGAGACAGAGAGGGGTGTGGCTGGCACCCTGTGTACACAGTATGCTGGAGACGTAGCGTCAGATGCCCCCATAACGCTCACGTGCAGGGACGAGGTGTGGGGGCGTTATGTGAGGGTCACGGCTGACCACGCTGGCCAGATGTCCATATGTGAGATTGAGATATACGGAGATTCGGTTGTCCGAAAAGGTGGGCATAAGCTTATTATAAATCTTGGATAATGCATTTGTGTAACTATTAAACATTAGACAAAGTTACCAGTTTATACTTCTCCTGAAGTGCGGATGTGCTTGGAAACAGGGTATACCACCAGCTTACCCTAGCTTACCATTGCTTATCGTTGCTTACAAATGCGTATCTGGGCTTACATTTGCTTGTCCTTGCTTACCCCTTGTTTACCTTTGCTTACCCTAGCTTACCCAAACTTACTTTTGCTCACCCGAACTGACCTTTGCTTACTCCAGCTTACCTTTGCTTACAATAGCTGACCATTGCTTACCCACTCCAATTACACACATATACTTTTACTTACCCTAAGTGACCCTTGCATATTCCATATTACCTTTGCTTACCACAGCTGACCCTTGCTTATTCCTGCTTACGTTGCTTATGTAAGCTTACTTTAATGTTGCCCACAGCTTACCCATGTTGCCCCTACCTTAGATGACTTACCGGCTTACCTTAGTCTGCCTGCAGCCTACCTATGCTTACCCTGCATATACATTATATCTTCAATTTAGTCAAGACAACAAACGTGGTAAAGTATATAAATAATATCAGTAGGTGGGTGAGTTTGCTTTTATGGTGTTCAAGGAGTTACAGGTTTTCGATTTTAATTACTTTCCTGAAACCCACAAGTGGCAGTTGTAGTAGTAGTAGTAGTAGTAGTAGTAGCAGTAGTAGTAGTAGCAGTAGTAGTAGTAGCAGTAGTAGTAGGAGGAGGAGCAGCAGCAGCAGCAGTGGTAGTAGTAGTAGTAGTAGTAGTAGTAGTAGTAGTCACGCCGACGACCCTGGTTCGTTCCCCACACGGATACAATGTGCTACTAGTGAGGCATGTTTGCGCCCATCACAACACCTTTCCATCGTAACAATATGACATAAACACAAATACTGTTAAGTAAACCTGAAACATTAAAGACAAATAAAAACGACAAAGATAAAACAATACACATGAGGCATAAAATAACACTGCAGATAATGTGACAAATAAAAAGTGTGAATAAGTGTCACGTATTCTCCAGAGTGGTCTCCCCTTGACTGCGGCCCTGCACCGATGGCGGGCAAGGCCAGGGTGAGCATCGCCTCCTCCACGAGGGAGAGCGTGGCCTCCTACTCCTGTCCTGAGGGGATGTCTCTATACGAAGGTACCCCCACCCTGGTGTGTGACAGCTCGAAGGGTTGGGTGGGGCAAGTTGGCACCTGCCTTCAGACCACCTTCAGGGCCACGGGAACAGATTTAGTGAGTATTTATGTCGTATTTGAAAGTGTTTAAAGACAGTGGTTACTATTAATAGTATTTTAATTTTGCAATACTATTAGAGAAGTTATTGCAGCTAAGGGTTCGGCTATTTATTACGGAGGGGGTGGGGTGTTGGCGGGGTAGGAGGAGGTTCAGAGGTTTGATGCACAAATGTACTGAAAATAATTACTCTCCACTTATGGGTGCCATTGTACAAAACAACCTCAGCGCTACACTGTCGTAAGTCTATGTTTAAGTATGGGAGTTACGATCACCTTAGCGCTACGGTCGCTTTGTCCAACGGCAACCAGGTGGTTATCGTGTTTTTGTCTGAGTAGACAGGTTAACATCACTGGCATTCCGCATGTCATTTATGAGTGTGATGGCAGTCACGACGTGATGACGTCTTGCTGCTGTCAGGAGAATCCTGCCTTCCCGCTGTGTCCTGGAACGCTGTCGACCACTTGAATGTTGTTGGGGTTACTGATCCGAACGTCTGGTATTGATTCCATGCCCTGTTGATCACACTGCTGACACCAAAGACGTTTGCAACATGACGTTGTGTTGACCCAGTTTCAAGCATGCCTATGTCTCTGCCTAATTCTTCGGTCGTGAAACGACGTCTTTGACGCTGAGGGGTCATAAGTGCATTCAGTTGTTGCAATGCTTAGTAGCAAATGGCATTGTGCTCTCTGATAATGATGTGAAACGATTCTGTTAAGATACCTCAACTCGCAGGTTTTCAAGCACCTATTGCACATTGTGCCCATGACTGCATGAATTAGGGGTTACCCAGTCATTGTGTACCGGGATATTTTAATCATTTATTTCTTGGATGATTTTATATATCATCAAAACTTGATCCTTAGCAAACTTTGAGAAGTATAATATTCTTTTCATCTTTTCGACATTATGACAAAGCATAACCCGTTTGCCAAGTACCAGATTTAGCAGTTTGGTAGATGGTAGGGAATAGATACTTACCTCTGATTACTATCTGATGTAAGCTAAAGATACCTACCTGTCTTTCTTTGTTAATTTTGGATCCAAGCGAATGAAAAAGTTATTATTTTGTATTTCGTTTTATTTTATTACCTTGCGTAGCCGTAGCGCAGCATGGCATCTCTGTCAGCCGTTAACATTCTAACTTATTGTCGATATATTGACATTAGGCCATGCACAACTGCGATACTGCGGTACTTCGATACATCGTTACACCCTACTGTACGACACACGGAGATGATCGGTAGTATGGTGTTGACGGATGGAAAGGCCACAAATGGAGTGGGGTGTGCAATGTTGGCATTGTTGTTCCAGCTCCAACAGGTCCAGCTGCTGTCACCCCCGAGGATAGGCGAGGCTGTAGAAGTTGTGTTTACACCCAGGAACCCATGGTTAGTGCATTGCAAGGATCTAGAGTGAGTGATAGGGTGAGATATTCTCCACGGTATGTACCTCAACGGGTCAGCTTGAAAGTTGGCGCAAAGTAAAAAGTGAGTAGATCGCAGCTGTTAATCGCTTTGGTAAAGCCAAAAGTAGTGGGTAAAGGCGTTTTTTAATACAAAAATATATTTCAATTGGCTCCTTAGGAACAGCATCATACGTTGCCCCCCTCCCCTTTATCTCCCCTAAGTACTTTACAAATCCCCCCCCCCCCTTCCCCCAATACATGTAACATTGTTTCACAACCCTCTCCACCCCTATTTTGGCGCCACCCACCCACTCTTTCGCTGTCATGTTTTCAACACAAACACACACTCACACCCCATACATGTAACATTTTTCCACGACCCCACCCCCCATAGGTGTGATTGCCCCGCCTTTTTGCAAGTCTATGCATAGTCCAATCAAAATCGAGCAGCGAAATCGAAATCCGGTTCGTAAACTGTTGTGCAGATTTCTGTCGATTGCAGGATTTGCCAAGCATTTGCACCGCCAACTCGTTGTTCATGTTTTTCATCAAGGTGCTCACATGATTTTATTCACTTCGCGATGTAAGACGCGTTTTAGCGCAATATAGGTATTAATTATCGATCAGATCGTCTAGACCGGGCGCCACCATTTTGTTTGGAACAAATGCAAGTGATATGGGAAGTGGAATCTGATTGGTCCATAGGAGAGGCTTAGAAGAGACATAACTCGTAATAGCCACTGGTGGCGCTACGATCGAGCCCAGTAATTCCAGCCTAGTTCGGCAAGAGTGGAAACTGTACTTTTTAACTCTCTTGCCTCGGGAAGATGACGAAAATGGGATGTTGGTTTGTTTTAAATAATGACCTCAAACATTTATTGCCTCTTATAGGTCCCGTGTGTCGCTGATTGCCAGCTCCATAGAGCAGGATGTTGTTCTCATGGTGATAGCGTTCACCAAAGACCGAGCCAAGCTCATCAGCGGAGGAACGTCAGCTGTAGTGGACATTCCTGGCTTTCCCTTCCAAGATGGAAAAAGAACTAAAGTGCTTTACACATTCTTCTCTCAGTATATAGATGTAAGTATCATTTATATGTCAGGGACGGTGTTGTAGCATTTGCTCGTCTCGCGGAACCCCCGGATTTGATTCTAACATTGAGATAATAGTTAGAGCCTATTTATAGTGTTTCCAGAGTGATACCGCCAGAATACTGCTGAACAGGGTGTAAATATGGTGAAATTGGGTTTTACATCGCGTTTGCAATTATTGCACGTTTATAGGGACGTGTATGCACATATGTGTGTGTGGCTGAGAGTCCGCTTGTACTAGTCAGGAGAAATCGCTGTTTAATAGTGTACTCAAACACAGTATACTGACTCCGAGACGACCAGTCCTTGTTTCCTTCCCATAATTACATGCGCCAGGCTGGGTAACAACAAGTACCATTTTTTAAAGTTTGCTGATGGAAACGAATAAGGGAACAATGAAAAATATAGGGAAATATGCTTTTCTGTCAGTACATTTGAAATAGCGCGCATACAAATTCACCACATAACCAAATCTTGAGATGTGTTTGTGTGCATTGTTTGACAAGGCTGGGAACCCATGATAGCATATCACTGAATCTAAAACTAAGTGTTCCCTTTTATATTTTCATCAGTATATTTGGGTATAACGCTGCAGGGTATCGAAACTTCCACTCACCGGGCAGACGCTCTCTCAACCGCGGAGGCGGTATAGAAAACCTACGTACGACGCGTGATCCCTTGACTAACAATGGGCACGCTGGTGATAAATGAAAGTCATAATTTCGGGACCGTTAATTTGGTCCGGTTTTGACAGAGATTCGGAGTTTCCAGTTAAGGCAGGTTCCACTGAAAACGTGTTGTATAGTCATGTGCAAGTCTGCATTTGCCATCAGGTAACTGTTAATCCGTGGGGAAACTGGATAAATTAGGTTAACAGTACTCTCTTGCTTATGGTAGTTGTAGGGGGCACGCATGGCCCAGTCGTCTTAATCGCCGCGATTCCCTGTGCAGAGTTGCCTCCCTTGGGCACGCCAGAAACCTACGATTGTGAGTTCGAATCACGGTTCGCTCCGATTATGTTTCTAGGTTTGTCAGCACCATGGATTTCACCGAAGTGGTAAACGTCTGAGACCTGCATCACTTCGGGCTTTCCTCCCACATTAAGCTGACACGCCGTGATATAACTGTAATACTGTTAAAAGCGGCGTTAAACCAAACTCACTCACTATGGTAGTTGTATAAGTGCCTGTATGGGTTTACACCAGCAAAGGGCTTCACACAATGTACCATGTGGGGAATCGAACCTGGGTCTTCGGCGTGACAAGCGAACGCTTTAACCACTAGGCTACCTCAACCTCAATGTGGTGATTTTTGACAAGACGAGACAAAGTCTTTTTACAGGCAAAAGGCCAGACACGACATCCACAAAATACAGTATTGCGATCCACAAGTGCTTTTACCTAGACCTAAATATGTAAGAGTCAACTGAATGTATGTGGTGGTCAGGCTGGCTGACTTGACGTGTCACCATACCCCGACGGTGTGTGACGTTGCTTACTATGTCAACCATTGGTTTTTCTGTTCCAGATATCAGTGGATGGTCTTTCTGTATATGCCTACCCCTTCCTGTTCCCCGTGGACCTGATAGACGGTGTCTTCACGACAGGCGCCACACGGGTGTCCGTCCTTCCCAAAGGCATCACGGGAACGACCTGGAGTAAGTACACGTTTAAACGTAACAGTAATTGAGTCTAGTTTAACACCTCTTTGAACTGCATTGTGTTTGTATCATGATCTGACAGTATTATTTAAGAAGTGACGTGAAATGGGGTTTAAGGTCGGTTCAAGAATATTGCCCTCACATAGTGACATTTTCCTGTATGGCTGCGTGGACGATTCCGGACTAATGCTGGACCATTAAACTACCATGCCATAGTTTAACATGAATATCCCGATCTGGCACTGTATACGGACTCCGAGTCGACCAGTTCTTGTTTTATCCCCTTAATGACAAGACCGCCTCCGTGGTCTAATGGTAGAGCGTCCGCCCGGAGATCGGAAGGTCCGGGGTTCGATCCCCAGCCGCGTCATACCAAAAGACGTTAAAAGATGGTACTTGTTGTTACCCGGTCTGGCGCTCGGCATTAAGGGGCTAAAACAAGGACTGGTCGGCTCGGAGTGAGTTTATTGTGTCTGAGTGGGGTATTCAGTATAAACTGCGGCATGGTATCTCAGTGTGTTGCACTATAAATCGGCATCAGTCCGGACTAGTACAAGCAGCCACACACACACATACACGTGCATGCACGTCGCTATATAAGTGCAATAATCTTGGACGCGACTTTAAACCCCATTTCACCTCACCTCACCTCACCTCACCTCACCTCACCCTTAATGCCATGCACCAGACAGTCTACCAAGTTTCGACGTATTTTTGCCCAATGTAAGTCGGTGACTTTGCCAGCTTGGTGAGCACTGATGTAATCCAACAGCACGGGGATGGTGCTGAGAAACACACTGATATATGACAGAACCTATGCAAGAAAACAACTGCCGATTTTGTATCTGCATCAATGTTTGACGTATATAATCTTCTTTCAGCTCAATTGACGAGGAATCTTGCATGGAACAAGCCCGCAGTCGGCAGCACCGCCAATGGGGAGTCCGACCCTGGCAACGCAGTTGATGGTAACAAGGCAATGCAATTGACCTCGCAATCGTGCTGGACTGTCGACAATGGTGACCTTGACCCCTGGTGGACAGTTGACCTGGGCAGCTTTTACAAAGTGACCCACGTGGAAATAACCAGCAGGGTCAGCTGCGGAGAGTTGTGTGGTGTGTATCCATGGATACTGTTATACTATAAAAGACGAACTATGTCGTTGCATAAATGAAATAATTTAAAATGTTTTTGTCACTATAGCTGTCACCTTGGGCATATACAGCAAATTTTAGTTATTTTTAGAGTTTTCTCACATCATAGCTGCTGCTAAGACGTAGTGAATGCTTATAATTTATATCTGACGTTAAGTGCATTTAATTTCCGGGATAGTATTGGGGAGATAACTCTTACTTGGTAAAAATAGGTCCTGTGTATAATTCCAGCTACATGACGTCGATCTGTAAATAATCGATTCCAGGCCAGGCAATCCAGTGATTAACATCATGAGCATCGATGTACGTAATTGAGATACGATGACATGCATCAACCGAGTCAGCGAGCCTGACCATCCGATCCCGTTAGTCGGCTCTTACGACAAGTTTTGGTTGCTGAAGACCAATTTTAACCCGGATGTTCATGGCGGGATTTGACGTAAAGGCAGACAGAAATGTGGATTGGGTATCCAGGCTCTGTTACGAGTCTTAGTTTGTGTGCTCGTACAACAGTAACATGGAGAGTAGATGTTATACGCCATTGGTTTGACGTACAGACAGCCGTGATATTGCTGAATGCGGCTCAAAATAACAAACAATGCAGCATTTTACATTAAGCAGTGAGTGTTGGCACAATCTTTTAATTCATCATTCAAAACTGGCTTCTACAGGAAATCTCGCCTGGATGAGAATTATCAATTATCACCACAATGGAATTGCAGCACAATGCTTTGCAGACCATGGTGACTTCATTGGCTACTATGACGTCACCATCAAATGATTTCTCTGTTCTCTCTGGTTTACTTTTATTTCACTTCTGAAGATACATGGGTGAGGCTTTCGATATCCTAAGAAAAGTCTTCTTCCGACATACCAATCAAAAAAGGTTATTGTTTGGGGGTATTTGTTTTGTTTGTCTTTGTTGTTGTTTTTTTGTTGTCGTTTTTTTTTTTGTTTTTTTTTGCGGGGGGGGGGGGGGGGGGGGGTTCATTTTTATTCACATGATACTCAACCCTGATCAAAATGTTAATAGTCTTACTCGTACCGTGGATTCAGAAGCTGGATGGGTACCAGTAAGGATCGCGTGTTTGAATGTGTGTGACCGTACGCTGACGGCGTGAATAGTTGATCATGCTATCAACCACTATTTATCCCACGCATTTCAACAGCAAGACGATACTGAATGTGTGGTGCATCTACTCGTGGGGTTGTCCTCTCTACTGACACATGGTACCTGGAGTGAATTGGCTTTAACGCCGCTTCGAACAGTATTCCAGTTATATCACGACGTGTCCGCTTTTAATGTGGGAGGATCGTCACGATATGGCTTAAATATTGCCGATGTGACGTAAAGCATTAACTCACTCATTCACTCATAATGTGGGAGAAGAGCCTGAAGTTATGCAGGGCCCGGTTCCACAAAGCGATCTTAGCGCTACGACTGTTGTAAGTCTACAATCGTTTTGTGGAACGAGGCCCTGGTCTTGAAAGTTTAGCACCTTAGTAAAACCCACGATATGGTGCTGATCAACCCAGAAACATTATCAGGACGAGTCTGGGATTCGAACTCACGATCATAAATTCCTAGTAAACCCAAGTGACTTAACTCTGCACAGCGAATTGCGGCGCTTTAGATAACAGGATCGCCCGTTCCTCCATGACACCAGCACTGAGCCATCACTGATCATTCTGTTTTGTAGACAAAAGACTGCATGACTTTAAGATCGAATTATTCAACAAACAGCCGCTAGCACGTGACAAGGGTGAATTATGTTTGCAACACGATGGCGTGTTTCCTCCTGCGACGACGAAGACACTGACGTGCACGACGACGGCTGTAGGAAGGTACCTGCGAATCAGTTCACCTGGCCGAACAGATGGCGGGGATCTCTTCACGCTGTGTGAAGTCCAGGTGTTCGGAGACGAGTTCATTAAGGAAGGTAGGTGAAGGATGAAAATGGGTCACGTGCATCTTGCTAGACTGCAGTCGCAGAACTTATAATTAATAATGACTTGTCCCTTTGGTATATTTTTAGCTTTCGTCTTTTTATTCAACAAGGTTGAGTCAGGTTTGGATGGTTCGGATCAGCTTGTGTCTGTACAGGACGGGTTATTTTAGGTTGGTTAAGGTCGGGTGAAGATGGAACTGGTCTGTATATGTCTGGACGGGACAGGCGTGTCGGTTTGGAGATGGATGGGTCCAGCTTGTGAATGGACGAGTCGGGTGGAGATGGATGGGTCCAGCTTGTGAATGGACGAGTCGGGTGGAGATGGATGGGTCCAGCTTGTGAATGGACGAGTCGGGTGGAGATGGATGGGTCCAGCTTGTGAATGGACGAGACGGATGGACATGGATGGGTCCAGCTTGTGAATGGACGAGTCGGGTGGAGATGGACGAGTCGGGTGGAGATGGATGGGTCCAGCTTGTGAATGGACGAGTCGGGTGGAGATGGATGGGTCCAGCTTGTGAATGGACGAGACGGATGGACATGGATGGGTCCAGCTTGTGAATGGACGAGTCGGGTGGAGATGGACGAGTCGGGTGGAGATGGATGGGTCCAGCTTGTGAATGGACGAGTCGGGTGGAGATGGATGGGTCCAGCTTGTGAATGGACGAGTCGGGTGGAGATGGATGCGTCCAGCTTGTGAATGGACGAGACGGGTGGACATGGATGGGTCCAGCTTGTGAATGGACGAGTCGGGTGGAGATGGACGAGTCGGGTGGAGATGGATGGGTCCAGCTTGTGAATGGACGAGTCGGGTGGAGATGGATGGGTCCAGCTTGTGAATGGACGAGTCGGGTGGAGATGGATGGGTCCAGCTTGTGAATGGACGAGACGGGTGGACATGGATGGGTCCAGCTTGTGAATGGACGAGTCGGGTGGAGATGGACGAGTCGGGTGGAGATGGATGGGTCCAGCTTGTGAATAGACGAGTCGGGTTGAGATGGATTGGTCCAGCTTGTGAATGGACGAGACGGGTGGAGATGGATGGGTCCAGCTTGTGAATGGACGAAACGGGGGGGAGATGGATGGATGGGCAAAGCTTATGCATGGACGAGACGGGGGGGACATGGATGGATGGGCAAAGCTTATGCATGGACGAGACGGGTGGACATGGATGGATCCAGCTTGTGAATGGACGAGTCGGGAGGAGATGGATGGGTCCAGCTTGTGAATGGACGAGACGGGGGGAGATGGATGGATGGGCAAAGCTTATGCATGGACGAGACGGGTGGACATGGATGGGTCCAGCTTGTGAACGGGACGGGCGAGCTGGGCTACTTTTGGCCTGATAAGGACGGGCGAGTCGGGTGGAGACGTTTTGGATTAAGATGGATTGGGTCGGGGAAGGGCAGGGATGAGGAGGGAATGACATATCCATACGGGGCAGGTCAGAAATACCAGCTCTAGTATTTATATCCACGACATTTTACAGAGTCAAGTCAATCTGACTGTAAAGAACCTCCCCCTCGTCCTCACGCCATGGTGAGCGTCATGAGAACCGGCAGGGGGGTGACTGCGAGCTACAGCTGTGAGGCGGGCTATGGCCTGTGTGGGGAGAGGCAGCACAGTACCTGTGTTGATGGAATCTGGGGGGAGTTCAATGGCCACTGCTTCCAGAATGTTTGGCACTACTCGGTAAGAATCTTCACCTTTATATACATCTTCTGACGAATGGTTACCCTTTGTGCAAACACCTGGTGTCATCACAGATTTTCAGTTATCTATTCATATAATTGTTACCCCTAAATATAATTTTCTTTTACGCCCAGTGGAATCTGTTTTTGCGGATAATCGACACTGGTTAGTCTCTGGCGTTGAGGTTTTATATATTTTATTGTTATACCTCTATAAAGAATCTTGCAATGCCATTGGTTAATCCTTACCACGTGACAATTCAATACATTTCAATGTAGACCCCGAAACATGTGACTGACAATGACCTCGAATATTGACTCGTCACATGATCAGTATTTACCTGTCACGTGATGAATATTGACTCGTCTGCTAGAAAACAAGATGGCGTCTTGTACGAACATTTCACGGTTCGGGCCTGACCCCTTCGGCGTTCTGACCGGAACTCGGCCTGCGGTCTCTGTCCGGGCAGACCACCTCATGGCTCGAGTCCTTAGGTCCTTGATTTTGCATATTGAACTCGTAGAACAAGTATAATTATTTGGATATAATATTTCCAACTTATACATCTACTAGGTCAATTCAATCTCTAATACAATGTATGGTGATAAAAGTGATCACAGGCGACATTTCGTCAGCTGATGTTGCTTTTACAATGTTTTGATTAAAATCGAGTGAAAGTGGAACACGGGTGGCACAGCCATGTAAGGTTGAGAGTTGCGTCCCTTACTAATGTCAGGATCCTAAAATATCTGTTTCGAATCGAAGAGTCGCCATGTCCTGAATATTGGTTTGTCTGTACCATATCCTGCTCGTGGGTTTTACCAAAGTGACAAACGTCAAGACCTTCATCATGCTGAACTGACACTCAATGACGCTACAGTTCAAAGCGACGTAAATCCCACTCACTCAATCGCGGGATACTTCTGCTGAGCTTAGCAGTGAAGATCCGGGTTACAATTGGTCTTCAGCTACCCATGCCTTTCATAAGAGGCGACTGACGGGATAGGGTGGTCAGGCTCGCTGACTTGGTTGAAGCATGTCATCGTATCCCAATTGCGTAGATCGATGCTCATGATGTCAATCACTGGGTGCGGCATTATAAAACAAACAAACAAACATGCTGAGCTATTGAAAGGGTGTTGCGACCTCGGTCTAGTCAGACCACTCAGGGGTCGGGACATGTGGTCCTTTTTTCGTGTAATGACCCCGACAAGAGTTAAACTATGTGTAATAAATTACGCCTAAAATAGTACATCGTTGTTATATTTTGTATGTTATCTATTTCAGACTCCACACACCATTAAAGACCACCCACTGACATGCCCCTTAAGTCTCAACTCGGAAGTGACGCTGATCGCAACACCTGTCATCAACACTGAGTGGGTACAATCATGGCAGTTAGTTGTTCACGTTTCGGATGCTTGTAGGGTGACATCTTCCCGAGGCAAGAGAGTTAACTGACTATAAAAGTCGTGTTTCCACCCATGCCGAACTAGGCTGAAATTTAGGAGTATGCATAGTCCAATCAAAATCGCGTAACGCACTAGACATCCGGTTAAAAAACAACATGGATTTCACCGTGCAGATGTCCGTCGACTGAAGGGTTTGCAAAGCATGTGTACCGTCAGCTAGGGGTAGATATTTTGCAAATCTTTTCATGTGTTTAATCAAGGTGTTCAAGTGATTTGATGCACTTCGCGAGATAAGACCCGTTTTATTGCAATATATATCTTGATTATTGATCAGATCGTCTTTACGGTGCGCCGCCCTTTTTGGTTTGAAGCAAATTCAAGCGGTATGAGCGATAGAATCTAAGTGGTCAATGGGAGGGACATAGAAGGGACATAACTCGCAAAAGCCACTGGTGGCGCTACGATCGAACCTTGAAATTCATGTCTAGTTCGCTAAGGGTGGAAACAGGACTTTTACAGTCAGTTAACTCCTTTGCCTCGGGAAGATGATTCGGTGAACATATTAACCTTTGTAAATGGGAGTATGTGCTGCAATCTCATTGGTTGAAAATTGTTGTCAAGTGGACACCGGAAGCGTTTCCGTACCTATACGAATTTTTGCTCTGTTCCTAAAATTGATTCTTACTGCATTAATTAAATGTGAAGTTTGATCAGTATTTGTCAACAAGTTCGATTTAATCAGTTCGACATTATTATTCTTAATTGTGCACCCTAGTTTCGTGTACGGAACATGTATACGCATGGAAGGAAGTAACGAAACAGCTTCATTACATTAAACTACGGTTATAACGAACTCAAAGGGACCACTAAGTTAAATTCGTAATAACGGTAGTTCGTACAAAGCATAGTTACAACATTAATACAGCGAATGGGCGGGACCAAAAAAAACCCAGTTCGTTATATCTGTCATTTCGTCATAACCGATCCATTTCGTCATAACCGTGTTTGTTATAAATGTAGTGTACTGTATTATATTTTATCAGCTTCACGACATCATTACGTATTGGCAACACATCCATCATCAAACTGGAGGCTTCGTTCACTGCGTACGGGTACAAAGAGGCCACTGTCCAAGTGCAGGAGAGTGGCAGAGAGACCTACAGATACAGGCTGCCTATCTTCCCCTTTGATATAGGCAAGGAATTTACTCTACTCATGAAAGTACTACCCACGGCCATTGAGGTAAGTTGTAGCTGAGGTAATGATATATTTTGCCTGGACAAGCCATCAGTATTGAATCAGCATTGAATCATTCAACAAGAGACCTGTGAAGATCCGGGGTAGATTAGATCTTCAGCAACCCATGCTTGCCGTAAAAGGCGACTATGCTTGTCGTAAGAGGCGACTAACGGGATCAGGTGGTCAGGCTTGCTGACTTGGTTGATGCAGGTCATCGATCCCAATTGCGTGGATCGATGCTCATGATGTCAATCACTGGATTGTCTGGTCCAGACTCGATTATTTACAGACCGCCATCATATAGCTGGAATATTGCCTAGTGTGGCGTTAAACAACAAACCAACATACAAACTCTTCTGAGATGATTGTGCCAAACATGTTTGGGCAAAATTCAATTCACTGGATGCTTCACGATCGTCTGGTGCTGGCACTTGTAGTTTCAGTTGGGGAACCCCATATCTTTTTTTGGACTAACGACCCCTGCACGTGGGCAATTTTACGTCACTTTCCCGTTATAGTAGAGTACCATATCCGTTTTGATTAGAGTGAAGTGCGTGCTACTAAGCATAACAAAAAGATTATTCGCGAATGTTTTTCGGCAGGGGACGTTCGAGTAGGTTTTCAAGTGCCAACAAACATGAGAAAGTACTAGACAAAAATGTTTTATGGATAAAACCTTCTTTATTACATGAAATTGCGACGTTTCTATAGATTCTTATACCGCTGGTTGAACTTTGTCATCCGTCAACTTCTAAGTAATGCCTATCAAACAAAAATGAGAAATTATATATGATATATATGTTAAATATTATAAAAGCAAGCAAGAAATTAAGCTGTTCTATATAAATTACCATTTTTTTATTCGATCTTTTACATTTCTCTGTCCCCATGACAATCCGGGTTAAGATTGGTCTTCAGCAACCCATGTTTGTCATAAAAGGTGACTTGGTTGAACGTTGATGCATGTTATCGTATCCAAATTGCGTAGATTTGCCGTTATGTTAATCACTGGATTGTCTGATCCAGACTCGATCACTTACAGACCGACTTCATATAGCTGGAATATTGCTGAGTGCAGCGTAACAACAAACAAAACATATCCCTTGGTACCCCATGTTATTAACTGGGACTCAATTTAAGGATTTGAGTCTCCAGGAGACATTTCTGTGGTAATCTGAGTGCGAAGCAGGATCTCTATCAGCTGCTACCGGTCAGTGTTATGAAGCTCTATACGAAGTCCTGGCGTCAATGTGTATGCTACATCTATTCACAGCTACACGTGGACGGACGAATGGTCCACGATCCATCTCTTCCTGGGATCCCAGTGGAGACAAGAATGGATGGTCCACCAGTTCTCAACACAGAGGGACTGGCCACACGACGCCTAACGTACCATGTATCAAGTAAGAGCTTCCACACAAACAGTAACATTAAGGTGTCTATTTCGCCATTGTTCTCGCTGGCCTTGACGTCACACAGCCATCTAACATAATGTTGTTTTTTGTCTAAGAGGGTTCATGTTCATTTGTTCGACTGTGGCTCTTAAACAATCATATTGAACTATTTTAACCAACTGTATGAACACACAATGCCATTTAGAAAGTGGTCAAATGTAACAAATTTTATATTTGGGATAATTCTTTCGGCCATGGGAGCCGTGCCAATTTACACACGCCAGAGGGGTACACAAAGTACGTGATCTAGACTACCAGGTGTCGGACTTTCATTTTGTGGGAGCCTCGGTGGCTGAGTGGGTTAGATCGCTGACTTTGTGTGCTGGCGATTAGGTGCCTCACTCTGGCAGTGTGGGTTCGAATCCTGGACAAGGCTCAGCAAAAAACAAGTAAGAGTATCTGTACTTTGTTCAAAAAGTGTTATCCCAAATATAACATTTCTTATAAAACTGGGGCGGTCGGGTAGCCTAGTGGTTAAAGCGTTCGCTCGTCACGCTGAAGACACGGGTTCGATTCCCGACATGGGTACAATGTGTGAAGCCCATTTCTGGTGTCCCCCGCCGTGATGTTGCTGGAATATTGCTAAAAGCGGCGTAAAACCATACTCACTCACTTATAAAACTATATTTTAAGTCTCTCGAACAATAAAGTGCTCAGATTAATGTCCGTGTTGCCTGAAATGTAATAATATTTCAGCATTCCCCACATAAATAAAATGGATTAAATCTTGATAATTGCTGTAAATATGACCATCAAATTTCCGAGGTTTTTCAAATTCTGCCATAATAGAATGCAATCAGAATTGGAGTGACAATATCTATAAAAACATGTTTTGAAGTAAAGACCTAACCTTTAAGAGTTTTACTTGTCTCTCTTTATGCTCTTTTAATGTGTACACACGAAATAAGACGCTGATCATTGAATATTCCAGATTGGGATAAAATAACCTGTTCCCGTAAATACTGGAGTCAATAATTTTGTCCTGAGACCTTACAATAATATCATTAACAGAACAGGTTGGATTTTCTGAAAATTTCTGTGATCATGTTTAAAAAATGTTTTGGTCCTTCTTTCACAGAAGAAAACCATCTTGAAAAAATCCCAGGCCTCGCCACTGAACTTTATTAATTGGTCATTACATAATCTTTTATCGTGAACAGAATTATCATCATATTTATCGTGATGCCTCTTGGGTGTGTTTCGTTTGTTTCCCAATATATTCATCTTCCCGAGGCAAGGAGTTAACTGACTTTAAAAGTCAAGTTTCCACCCTTGCCGAACTAGGCTGGAATTCCTGGGCTCGATCGTAGCGCCACCATTGGCTATTGCGAGTTATGTCCTTTCTGTGCCTCTCCTACTGTCAAATCAGATTCAACCTCTCGTAACACTTGTATTTGCTTCAAACAAAACGGTGGCGCTCAGTCAAGACGATCTGATCGATAATCAAGATCTATATTGTGATAAAACGAGTCTTACATCGCGAAGTTCATCAAATTACGTGAGCACCTTGATTAAAAACATGAAAAGATTAAGAAAATACTTGTTGACAACGAGTTAGCGGTGCACATGCTTTGCAAATGCTACAGTCGACCGAAATCTGCATGACACTTTACGACAGGATTTCAATTTCAGTGCGCGATTTTGATTGGACTATGCATAGACTCAGTCCAGCCAAAATGTAACTCCATAATACCAGCCTAGTTCGGCAAGGGTGGAAACTGGACTTTTATAGTCAGTTAACTCACTTGCCTCGGGAAGATGACATAGTATTCTAATACATTTTCAGATGAGCGCTACCATATGATACACTACACCCACACACAGAACCGCTGGATCCATGTCCCGACAAAGGACAGAACAGATATCATGTTCAGCGTCAAGGCGTGTCATAGTGTTCTGGTGAACTTGAGGGAGGACCGCTTCTTTGAGACACCGGGTGTCACGTTTACCATTGGGGGCAGACAGAACACCATGTCCGAGTGTACGTCGTGCTCCAACAACCAAACTACCTGGCACTCCGTCTTGGACTGTGAGACGTATAAAACTTTCTGGGTGTCTTGGATGGTTCCTGGCAGTGTAGCCATAGGTTCGGGGAAGATTCTTGGCGCCGAGGTGTTCATGACAAGCTCCGGACACGACTTCAGGAAAGGGTTCCTCCGGCTGGGCACAACTGATACAGATGGACGGTGGACGTTCCGTGAGTTTTGTTTGCATATGTTATCCTGAGTGAGTGAGATTGGGTAGGTGAGTGAGGTTTGTTTTACGCCGCAATCTTTTTTTTCATGGCAGTCTGTAAATATTGACTTTGGACAACAATTCACACCGTACGGGGACCATGATGGTCACTTTGTTACATTGTGACAACCCGCTTCTCCTTTTGGTCGACGCTTGGACCTTGCTGTGGATGATCATCGAATGAGGTTTTATTACGTTTCGGGTTTGCCTCCGTGGTCTAATGGTAGAGCGTCCGCCTGGAGAGCGAAAGGTCCGGGGTTCGATCCCCGGCCGCATCATACCAAAAGACGTTGAAAGATGGTATTTGTTCTTACCCTGTCTGGTGCTCGGCATTCAGGAGCTAAAACAAGGACTGGTCGGCTCAGAGTCAGTATACTGTGTCTGAGTTGGGTATTTATGTTAAACTGTGGCATGGTATCTCAGTGGACTAGCACTATAAAATCAGCCCAACACACGTGCATGCACATCGCTATAATAATCGTTTAACCCCATTTAACCTCATCTATTACCCTCCGGAATCCCCACCACGCAAAAAGGGGGATACGCCGACTGGTTGTGTCAAATTGGCAGGGTTTTGAGATGTACTACGAATATATCTTGGACAGACACCTGGGTGACTTTTGAAACTATTAAATGTGAAATAGTTTACATTTATTATCGATTTCTATTGTGCATGGATAGGGAATAAGTGTTCGTGTCATTTTCATTTATGTGATGTAAGAATCAATTTATGTTTATGTCGAATATACATCAGTGGGTGTAACGCCGCTTTGACCGGTACATATCACGTCATATGAGGGCTAATAGTTTGCTGTGTGGGGAAAAGCCCGAGTCGATGCGGATCCTAGATGTTTAGTGAAACCCTCGAGCACAGACTGGTGCTGGCAAACCAAAAACATGATCAGAGCGTATCTGGGATCCGAACCCAACCAAAGTTTCTACACATCGACTTTCGTCACCTAAGACATCTGGGTCATCAGCGCCCTATACCAAGGACCACCCTATGCATCAGTTAGCATCATCGGGATCCACAGGGCTTAATCCCAGATATGCCCACATTATTACAGGGGTAGATTTAACAACATCTTTGTATGTATCCAGGGGGGATTGCTCCTTTTAAAATTTACTGGCCCTTTCCTAGCTAACTGTCCTACAACTTAATGGTGCAGGCCGCATAGCCAACTAGCAGGGCTCTCAAATTTTTAGAACTCTTCACCCGTAAAACCCTTTTTCCTCCACTCTGAAATTAAATCTTGGCTCATTTCTTATCAATTTATGAGCAAATAAAGAACACAACATTACAAAACGGCGGCCGGTTGCCATTCTACCGAGATGATCCAATAAAAAAAGGAGAAGGGATGAAATTTTGACCAGCCAGACGGGCCTTCTACTTTACGTTTCAGCAAGCCCTTTGTATTTTGAACTGGTCACGGGCCAACAGGCCAGCAGTTAAATCAACCCTGTTAGTATCCTTAGTATCTGCCACCACTGATCCCTAGCTCATGTTAAACGTCTTCTTCACATGAGACTGTTACTTCATACATAAAACTGTCATAAAATGCATGTACATGGCGGCGATAAGTAAGTCACAGTGTGAATATCTGCATTGTCTGCTCTAGCGGAATACGAGAGCGGTGCTGCCCCCGATCAACCCTGTCCCCGACCAGACCAATCACCGTCCACCTACATGACCAGTAACTTCCTCGCCCCCACCCCCTACAGAATGTCTACCTTCCGCTGCTCGGAGGGTCACGTGTTCTGTGGGCAGAGTTCACAGGCCAGCTGCCAGGATAGCACAGATCTGCAGGTCTTCAAGGGAGCCTGTGTCAGCAACGTGTTGCCCAAGGAAGACGTAAGTCAGACTCCAATCCTCCAATCAAACTCGATCGGGCAGAATCCGGAATTTTTTATTCATGTTTTTTTTAAAGGAAGACATAAATATCTTTATGGTGAAATAACCACAAGCATATTCAACAAATCAACAAAAGGGTTTGGCCACAACAAAAATTGCTTGTCAGTTTTTCGAATCATTCTTCCCAAAGGGACTACAATCATTGTAGTACAATGTGCATGCAATGTGTTTGGATGACATATTTACACGTATTACGAGTGAGTGAGTATGGTTTTACGCTGCTTTTAGCAATATTCCACCAATATCACGGCGGGGGACACCAGAAATGGGCTTCACACATTGTACCCATGTCGGGAATCGAACCCGGGTCTTCGGCGTGACGAGCGAACGCTTTAACCACTAGGCTACCCGACCGCCCCACACTTATTACGAACACCTGGTGTCATCACTGAATTTCAGAGATCCATTTATATGGTTTTCACGTTGTTTTGCCTTTTACGCCCAATGGAATATGTTTCGTCGGATAATCGAGACTGGTTATTCAATGGCGTTGACGTTTTATATTAATAATATTTGGTTGAAATGATGACATTATTGTGAGTCTGGTGTTTCTCTTCTGTGAGACCCGTGAAGACGCCGGGGTAGAATAGGTCTTCAGCAACCCATGCTTGGCGTAAAAGGCGACTATGCTTGTCGTGAAAGGCGACTAACGGGATCGAGTGGTCAGGCTCGCTGACTTGATTAATGCATATCATCGATCCCAAGTGCGTGGATCAATGTTCATGATATTAATCACAGGATTGGTTGGTCCAGACTCCATTATTTACAGACCGCGGTCATATAGCTGGAATATTGCTGAGTGCGGCGTTAAACAACAAACAAACAAACAAACAAACTCTTCTGAGATGATTGTGCCAAACATGTTTGGGCAGGTGAGTACATAACTACTCAGATATGGAAACCAGCTTCATTATCCATGACACAGAAACATTTTGACGATACGAATTATATTTTGCTTTTGGTAAAACATATGGATCAAGTGGTTAGTTTTGCTATCAAAATTCAGGCGGTCAAGACGAAGCTGCGACTGCCGTGCCGGATGGAAAATGGAGCCTTGATTTCCGTCTACATCACTCCAAACACTGATGCCAGTCGGTAAGTCAGATACACACACTATTTTGTTGGTTGTTGGTTGGTTTGTTTGTTGTTTAACGCCGCACTCAGCAATATTCCAGCTTTATGACGGCGGTCTGTAAATAATTGAGTCTGGACCAGACAATCCAGTGATTAATATCATGAGCAGGGTCCAGGGTAGAATAGGTCTTCAGCAACCCATGTTTGCTGTAAAAGGCGACTATGCTTGTCGTAAGAGGCGACTAACGAGATTGGATGGTCAGGCTCGGTGACTTGGTTGATGCATGTCATCGCATCCCAATTGCGTGGATCGATGCTCATGATGTCAATCACTGGATATGTGTTTGTCCAGACTCGATTATTTTCAGACCGCTGTCAAATAGCTTAAATATTGCTGAGTACGGCGTTAAACAAACATACAAACAAACCTGCATGGGTACAATGTACGATGTCCTGATGTCTGATGATTCAAATTCATAACGGTGTAACACTACATTCACTTACTCTTCCGTTACCCAAGGCGCAGGCTTCAGTAATGTTGTACCATTCTCTTTAAACACAAAGAGGGGCGGTCGGGTAGTCTAATGGTTAAAGCATTCGCTCGTCACGCCAACGACCCTGGTTCGATTCCCAACATGGGTACAATGTGTGAAGCCTATTTCTGGTGTTCCCTGCCGTGATTGAATATTTCTAAAAGAGGCGTAAAATCAAACTCACTCACTAACTTAAACAAAAAGAATTGCCTTTACAATGTCAACATTTCTAACCTGTCTACATGCATGTCGAGTGTTTTAGCATCACCGTGGATGTAGATGGAGAATATGACACAGGTTTGCTGCTGAAACTGGACTTTAATGCACGTGATCTGACAGCAGCTCACTCCGGGGCCCTGGAACAGAGCATCGGATCATTCCCCTTCACCAGAGGCCAGGAGTTCCACTTGGTCATCGCCTTCGAGCCAGACAGATACCAGGTACATATCTCGCCTTTGTCACCCGAGTCACGAACTGGTGTCTTTGCTAATCTAACAGTTATTCCGGGGGGGCACCTGGTATCATCGATATCCCATCGTTTGGGGGAGTTTGTCACTTCCATTTTTTTGTCTTTTTTTTGACTGATCGGTTGTCCCTGAACTTTTTTTCATTTTTGTCACAATCTCATTAGAATCAGATTTTATTTCTCGCTACCGCTAATCAAAGTTCTGAGGATATCCCATTACGGGTCACGTCATACCAACCTTTCGCGAACTTTGACCGACCAATGGAATGACCAATCAGAAGGCAGCTTTTCGTGTTTAACGGCACTAATTTCAAATTGGCGACTACGCTTCGAAACATTTTTTGACAAATTCTCGATTACAAATTTGAAACCTGAACAAAAGAACATTCTGGGATGGCTATTAGATGGTCTAGATTGTATGGATTCAGTCGTTAAACCCGTCACTATCGTTCGGAGTTAAAGTTTTCGAGGTTGCATGATTAGACATCACATTCCGACTGTCACGTTCACAATCTGGTAAGCGCTGCTCTGATTGGTCGGATGAAAGGTCATCCTGACGTGACCCCTAATGGGATGTCCTCAGATCTTTGTTTAGCGGTAGCGAGAACTGAGGTCTGATTTTAATTATATTGTTTTTGTCACAGCGTGTGAGCTTGATGTGTGAGGAACATCCGAAGTGACCACCAGCTTAGTGTTTGTTTGTTTGTTTGTTTAACGCCACACTCACAACTATTCCAGCTTTATGACGGCGGTCTGTAAAGAATCGTGTCTTGACCAGACAATCCAGTGATTGATACCATGAGCATCGATCTACGCAATTGGGATACGATTACATGCTTCAACCAAGTCAGCAAGCCTTACCACCCGATCCCGTTAGTTGCCTCTTACGACAAACATAGTCACTTTTTACGGCAAGCATGGGTTGCTGAAGACCTATTCTTACCTTTTCTTACAATACGGTTATAAAGACAGTGTTCGTGAAACACTTTAAACCGCCTTGGACTCAACTAAACTGTTCAACGACGAGATACCAGGTCCTCGTGCTCCAACGAATGCGTGATAAATTGAGCCCCAGTGGTTTAGCGATGTAACCATGTTGTGATCGAGGTTACTGTACATTTTTCGATATTACATTCGAATTTTAGAAACATATTTCAAGAGTTATTTATTTCGATATTAGGATGCACATAGCGATCGTACAGTAAGTAACTTGACAATGAATGGTATGTTGTGATCTGTTGTGTAAACATTTGAGCATGTGTATACATATTTACACACGTGTAGCGTATAACATAAACTGCCGGTAAAAGAAAGTATACACCTAAAAACTGGATTTGATAAAAGATTTACAACCGTCGTCAAAAAGTTACTAGGTTCAAAACAGTCGCCGAACCTTAAGGTCCAAACCACAGGCGTGATTTCCATATCAAATACATCAGCATCGAATAACCGTTTCTTTTTGTTTGATTTTTTGCCGCCATCAAACATGAGTGTACACTCTCATTTGCCCGGCAGTTTACTTGAAATAAATTTATCGCAGAACGATGTATAACGACTACGTTTAGCGTAAGCGAAATGAGAATTTTTCAAAATTAGTTAAATACTTATCAAAACTATGGGACGCGTCCTTGTGACTGACACCTAGCTGATTTCCTTTCTAATCAAATCTGACATAAACGATTATCATGACATTAAGATTATATATTCCGCGAGATGAATTAACCAAGATATATTTTCACGAAGTGTGTCAGTTGCCAAACCAGATGTCTTGAAGAACCAGCTGCCGACAAACCGTTTCCTATTTTTTTTAACACTTTTGTGGAACATGTTAGTCCCCGATCGTCATTACTTGACTTCATCAATCCTAAAAACGTGTGAGTTTTGACAAGATCTTGAACAGTTTTCTTCACTTCGAAAACATTTTATGAAGGCGTTAGAAAGAACTGCGTCACGGTATATGCACTCTCGATTAACATCGCATTTGGTGTCAATTCTATTATGATAAATACCCAGAACCAGTTCATGACATAGCTTTGTTTTGAACCGTATACGAAAGGCAGGCCGCCAGTTAAGAATAGTCGTCCAATCAGATCACACTCATGAGCGAGAGAAACCATGTGCAATGTTGATGTATGAGATGGTGATGGTGACGTCACGTCCAAAACAAAATTTGTCTGCGAATGGGTCTGGGATATTTCTCATAACAGAGGGGTGATAAGCTGGATATAATCAAGGGTGCTGCTAGGTCACCTGTAGATTTAACCGCGCTAATTCAAATCTGGAACCGATTGCACAGCATCAGGTTTCAAATGTTAAATTAAGCGTGATTAAATCAACTTAGCATTTGTAACCTAAAATTATACATATAATTATTTAATAATTGCCTACCGACAATGACTGAAAAAAGTCATATTCTGTTATTCTGTGGTGATGTGGCAGTTTCAATCAGAGGGGGTTTATTGTGATTTGATAACCTCATAGTGAAATGATTTGTGCTGTTCAAGATCTACTCCGATGGTCAGTGGGTCGGCGTCCATGCATCTCCAGTTACACATGACAGGCTCAGTGACGTTGAAGTCTCGGGAGACTTCACACTGCGGGATTTGAGAGCATACCCAAACAGTAGGTACAGTTTGTGTCAAGCGGATTATGATTTACGTTGCATTATGCCACGTCACATACTCTTGTTTCTCGTGACTTTACAGCACAGCGTCGTGGAGGCCATGTATGGTGTTTATTTTTATTTTTTCGAAATTACGACGGCATTGCTGGTTGTCAGGACGGGTTATATAAAAATGTCAATTTGGAAAGGACGTCGAACTGAATTTAGCATGCTGAAAATATATGTATACCAACTCCTCCAGAAATATCGTGTCGATTTTTGTGTTGGTCGGTAAAGAGATTACATAATTAATGGGGCCGTGAAGTCCTTGCAATTTTATGATAGAATAGATTTGTTGTTTTCAGTGTAAGTTTATTTTTGAAGGATCTTTTCTATTTTGGGTTAAGCCGGTGTAAAGAAAAATGTAAATATGAGGCCGTAGAGTCTTTGCATGTTTATGACAGAATGAATTTGTTTTTTAGAATCTTCGATTTTATTAGGCTTTTAAATCAGTGAAAATGCAGTGCCTCATCCTTGTGTGAGCGCATCTGTCAAAATCTCTGTTCATTTATGGGTGAATCTTTGATTAATGTCAGGGATTTCTTATGATTATGAATATGGTTTTGTCACTTTTATGTATTATTTTGAATCCCCCCTCCTCCCCAGTAATGTCATCACCCGACAACTGCGTGGTGGACGTCACCCACGGCACCATCCAAAGCAGGGACACGTCGATTGGGTCGGAAGGTCAGGTCAAGTGTAATGCGAACTATAAGACCTGCAACACGTCCAGCGTTGTGTGTGGACCGGACGGGAAGTACGGCAACACAGAGGACCAGACTTGCAGACAGTACAAATGGCAGTTTACAGCCGAATTAACAATTGTAGGTAATCCTTGAGAAATGTGTGTATATGTTATTACATGTAACTAGAACATGTTTGATAGAGTTAATCTTGATAGTTGGAAAGTAATAAAAAAAATATTGCAGATACTGGACACATCGTCATTATAGACACTGCGTCACAAATAGCTTCTCACAGTCTTTTCGGGGTCACGGGTGGCCCAGTCGTCTAAGGCGCCGCGATTCGCTGTGCAGAGTTGCGTCCCTTGGACACGCCAGAAACCTATGATTGTGGCTTCGAATCCCGGTTCGCCCCGATTATGTTTCTAGGTTTGTCAGCACCATACCCGTGCTCGTGGGTTTCACCGAAGTGGTAAACATCTGAGACCTGCATCACTTCGGGCTTTCCTCCCACATTAAGCTGATACGCCGTGATATAACTGTAATACTGTTAAAAGCGGCGTTAAACCCAACTCACTCACTCACTCACAGTCTTTTCAGCTGTCATTTGTCAATTAAGTTAATATCCCCTAAATGGGATATATTTTTAATTCTATTTTTGATGTCTGACTTTCCTATTTGCAAACTTGTATGCTTTCTCATACCCAGGCCACGCCCGGGCTTATATTTGAATTAAATAATAAGAACATTCACTCCTTCCCATATATTCATGTTTCCTTCTAGGTGTCTCTGACACTGAAATAAAAAAATAAAAAATAAACAAGATGGTGGTATTAAATTTGTTTTTGCAATTCTTAGGATACCGACTACCCAGTGCCGTGTACGTTCCGAGATGGGTACGGAATTCGACTTATCGGTAAAGCGTCGAGAAGGTATGTATCTTTCTTTAACCCTTACCCCTCTGTGTATTAAAGTTTAAAAGTTACAAAAATAATTTAATTGTGGTTATTAGCCCAGTGTGTGTTCAGTATCGTATATATCGTATATTATGAACAGAAATTGCATAATGCAAGTCTTTCGTAATAATCTCTTTGTCATATGACATTCTTAGAATAATCGATGTTTAGGGCGTCATTTTGTTCCTAGAAGCAAATTTACAACCCACGTATGAGTGAGTGAGTGAGTTGGGTTTAACGCCGCTTTTAACAGTATTCCAGTTATATCGCGGCGTGTCAGCTTAATGTGGGAGGAAAGCCCGAAGTGATGCAGGTCTCAGACGTTTACAACTTCGGTGAGACCCACGAGCACGGGTATGGTGCTGACAAACCTAGAAACATAATCAGGGCGAACCGGGATTCCAACCCACATTCATAGGTTTCTGGTGTGCCCAAGGGACGCAACACTGCACAGCGAATCACGGTGCCTTAGATGACTGGGCCACCCGTGCCCCCCAACCCGCGTATGTATCCAATGGGACCGAACTGCCCCATTTATCAGAGAGAGCTAAATTATTTGGAGCACTGTTTGTCTACAGAATCCCCTACGCATCGGAACATTCCCACTCGTACCTACAGGAAACATTAGTCAAAAGCAAGCATAGTTGTCTGGAGTTTCTGTTTGACCTTGATTTATCACATCGATAACACTTGCCATTATACGACAAAAATAAGTGAAAAAAAACATATTTTGTTTTTGGTTATGACCAGTGATATCATGCGATAATTTAATCAACTGTGAATAATCTATTGTATTTCAACAGTGTGTGTCATTAAAATAATACAATATCAAGATAAAAGCTTTTGATTGAAAATTTATCACGTGACAGTAAAGTTGCTGAATATTGATGTTGTTTGCAATGTTTTATCTACCTATGTTATCTATCTATCTATCTATCTATCTATCTATCTATCTATCTATCTATCTATATCACAGCTTCTGTGTCAGGGATCTATCTATCTATCTATCTATCTATCTATCCCACAGCTTCTGTGTCAGGGATCTATCTATCTATCTATCTATCTATCTATCTATCTATCTATCTATCTATCCCACAGCTTCTGTGTCAGGGATCTATCTATCTATCTATCTTATCTATCTATCTATCCCACAGCTAGTGTGTCAGGGATCTATCTATATATCTATCTGTCTGTCCCACAGCTTCCATGTCAGGGTTCGAGCTGGACCTGAAGATCAGATCGCCTTCTATTCCGACATGACAGCTTCCACCACGACGCTGTCCACGTCTATAAAGGATGAGGTCTTGTTCCAAGAGGTCATCCCCGGAAGTCCTCTATCCCTCTACACCCAGTTCGTGCTCATCATTGAGGTGCATCCCGATGTATATAAGGTATGTGTCGAAATGAAACCTCGAAGTCGAATTCCTTCAACTCGATAACGCTTAAACCGATGAGGCAGTACAGCCTTTGGGGGAATCTTTATTCAAATGTTGATACTCCGCTTCTCTCGAAGTATGGATAACTGGAAATACTTTCGACTGTCCTGTAGTAGATGATTGTATCTGGTGTCTATGTATTACGTCAGTGTATATAGAAGTGTCCTCGAGTCCTGAGTCATTTCAACATCAATGGGTACTCGTCTTTGTGACCCGTGACGATTCCGGGGTAGAATAGGTCTTCAGAACCCATCTTTGCAGTAAAAGGTGACTATGCTTGTATTAGGGTTTAACGCCGCTTTTAACAGTATTCCAGTTATATCACAGCATGTCATCTTAATGTGGGAGGAAAGCCCGAAGTGATGCAGGTCTCAGACATTTACCACTTCGGTGAAACCCACGAGCACGGGTATGGTACTGACAAACCTAGAAACATAATCGGGGCGAACCGGGATTCGAACCCACAATCATAGGTTTCTGGCGTGCCGAAGGGACGCAACTCGCGGCGGCTTAGGCGATTGGGCCACCCGTGCACTCTGTATGAATGAATGTCGGTAAGAATAATTCGTTATCAACCTATCCCTCGGGGCATATGGTGTGATTTATATTATGTAAGCCTCGAGATGGCTTGATAAATTATAGTCTTGGCAACCGTATGAGGATGGCTACCAAGAGTTGCTATAATAGTACTTAAAGTAGCTGTTATCCAAACATTTGGTCTATTTCGTCATCCGTCAACTTCTAAGAAATGCCTACCAAAGAAATCGTCAAACTCCTGTATACCCACGTTACAGATCAGTTCCTGGGTGTAGGATAGGTGAGGTGAAATTGGGTTTAACGTCGCGTCCAAGATTATTGCACTTATATAGCGACGTGCATGCACGTGTGTGTTAGTGTGTGTGTGGCTGCTTGTACTAGTCCGGACTGATGCATATTTATAGTGCTAGCCCACTGAGATACCATGCCATGCCGCAGTTTAACATGAATACCCCACTCAGACACAGTATACTGACTCCGAGCCGACTAGTCCTTGTTTTAGCCCCTTAATGCCGAGCGCCAGACAGGGTAACAACAAGTACCATCTTTTAACGTCTTTTGGTATGACGCAGCCGGGGATCGAACCCCGGACCTTCCGCTCTCCAGGCGGACGCTCTACCACTAGACCACGGAGGCGGTCGGGTGTAGGATAGGGTTCGTTACAGATGGTGATTTGCTTTAAGTATTGATTGCATGATACAATAATGTACCAATCAACCATACTTTCAGGTTATTTTGAACGGCGATGTCATCAACAGCTACAAACTCCTCTCGCCGGCGGACCGGGCAGAACGGGTTACCATCACGGCAGGGGTGGCTGTCACAGACTTGGAATTCCTCGACAGATAGACAACCTGGGGCTGAGTCGGGGACATAGGAAGGAGCCATCATCTAAAACAACATCAAGCCGAAAAGTCATTTGTACTCGTAGAGCACTCGACTACACTGCCGAGCAAAAGAAAGTACACCCATGTTTGATGGTGGCTGATAATAAAACAAACACGAAATGGTTATTCGATGGTGATGTGTCTGATACGGGTATCATAGGTGATATCGGACCTTAAGTTTACAGTGTTTTCACTGTTTTCAGCCTAGTAACGTTTTGATGACGTTTGTAATTGTTTTGTCAAATCCAATTTCCAAGTGTACACTTTCTTTTGCCCGGGAGTTTATTTGCCTCATTTACATGTTATTTCAAGCATATCATACTTTGTACTACGCACATGTAATAAAAGTGATGATGATGATGATGATGATGATGATGATGATGATGATGATGATGATGATAAGTGGAATCATGTTGCTTCAGACCACAGAGGACCCGGATGATCACATACTCAACTCTTGGGGAGTATATTTCATGTAGTGCATTCGGGTATATATCTATCCTCAGGACATGACAAAACTAGTTTGTGTCCACGTTATGCTTTTCAGTCTGGTATAAAGTGGGCGATCCAAGCTGTAATGTTGGAACTCGAAATCTCAATAAAATAATAGCGATAAAATGCTTTCAATATTCAAAAGAAGTCTCTGCTAAAGGCAGAGTCGATTGTACGATTCCCACTATATCATGAGCATGTGTTTACTATTAACATGTTGATACAAGGTGTTCGCCAAAAGGTTAGCGTATCCTGACCCACCGGTGGCACACATCACAAACACATGCAAAGGCAAGTCAATTGCTCACCTGACAAAAACACGAGAACATAACGTACAAATCAAAATAGGGGATTGCATCGGACATCATTTTTGACACTGATGTGTCAAATTTGGAAATGTCCTCCACATGCCTGCCATCAAACATTTTGAAAGCTTTACTGAGGCCTTGAAAGTTGTAACCTTGATCCAACAACTTCTGAGCAAGAGTCGTATGACGCTCTTTGAAATCTTGGTAGAAAGAGCATGCTCGATTGTATCTCAAAAAGTTGTGAAATGTAAGGTGAGGTGAGGTGAAATTGGGTTTAACGTCGCGTCCAAGATTATTGCACTTATATAGCGACGTGCATGCACGTGTATGTGTGTGTGTGGCTGCTTGTACTAGTCCGGACTGATGCCGATTTATAGTGCTAGCTCACTGAGATACCATGCCGCAGTTTAACATGAATACCCCACTCAGACACAGTATACTGACTCCGAGCCGACCAGTCCTTAATGCCGAGCGCCAGACAGGGTAACAACAAGTACAATCTTTTAACGTCTTTTTGTATGACGCGGCCTGGGATCGAACCCCGGACCTTCCGCTCTCCGGGCGGACGCTCTACCACTAGACCACGGAGGCGGTCTGTGAAATGTAAACACTTGCTTTAGCAATATTCCAGCAATATCACGGCTGGGGACACCAGAAATGGGCTTCACACATTGTACCCATGTCGGGAATGGAACCCGGGTTTTCGGCGTGACGAGCGAACGCTTTAACCACTAGGCTACCCGACCGCCCCTCGGTTGAAGCTAATTGGCTATTTGATTGTTATTGAACGATATCAGATCATCGATACGAGACACACACCCATAACTTACATATGTTCAGTACGCAACTCAAGATTTATTTGGAGAAGGAAAAGTCACCTAGTTCGCAGGTAAGGCTGTTTACATTATTGAATATCACCGAGCAATGCTGGACAAAAACTACGAAAGAGATCAACTTGACTGTGATCTCAAGTATAAGTGTACTTTACATTATATCAACCAATTAGTATTGTTCTGTTATATATTAACGTGAACCATCCAGATGTTTGGTTGAATGGTTCATGGTGGCGTCTCACCTATATTGATGACTTGGGACACACACATACCATACACACACACACACACACACACACACCACAGACAGGCACACATAACCCATATACAACACAGACACCCACCACAGAGACTGACACACACCACAGACACACACCACACAGACAGACAAACACCACACAGACAGAGACACACACACACCACGCAGACAGACCCACACCGCACAGATACACACACACACCACACAGACACACACATACACACCACGGATACAGACACACACCGCACAGACACACACATACACACCACACAGACACACACATACACACCACGGAGACACACCACGCAGACAGACCCACACCGCACAGACCACAGACAGACACCCACCACACACACACACATACACACACCACAGAGACACACACACCACACAGACAGACACACATACACACACCACACAGACAGACACGCACCTGTTACAGTTGTGCTCTGAATGACAGCAAGGTTTTCAGTTTAAGTTTCTGCACGTTTCTGGTTTGTGAATCACGAGATAAGGGGCCTTATTAAAACTACACCATCTTCGGAACCCCAAAATTCATTTTACAAGCTTTTGTCATGTCCCGTCTACAAAACACATACCCGGCCTTTTTAGGTGAGGAAATCCTAAGCTTTAATATTCCTACATACATGTATGTAAATACCTAAAGAATCGCATCCACATGCTTATACATGTTGACTCACAATCGTTCAGAAAGGTTAAAGAAAGGCGAAATGTGACATTAGTGAATTTTCCCCCGTAAACCAGGAGATTTTAGACACATTTTCTGATCAAATCAACAGTTATTGTGATTCTGGTAACATTAATGTTGCCACTGTGCACCTAAGAATAGCCTATATATGTACTTTACCCACAGGAATAGCTTATACATGTACGTTTTAGACAACACTCCCTTGTCCTCTAAACTTCACAGAATACATGATTGACAACTCGTGAAGACGGAAGCCATTTATCATCCACACAAACATTTTAAATCAGTTGATCCGTCAGGGGCCGTGTACTGGGGCTGAGACATCAAACGTGTGAAGCCGATCTGGAAGTGAATCCACACAACGCCGGAGTTTTATGTTCAATCACTGTTCAATGACTACACTGACCATCGACGTTTGAGTGATAAATGAGCAAGTCCCTTAACAACAAGGAGCACCAGATAAAGCTTGTTTACTGTAGCCACGTCATTAATGTTGCATTTGTATTGTGATAGTTAGATAATTACCTTTACACACATACAACGTACATTCTTGGACATGATGTGTTATTGGACATGATGACAAACTGATTGCTGGGGAGTTCGATCAATTGAGACTTGATGTCAACATTTGACTTGATTAAAAATATGAAAACCGATGTACATACGATGTATAACTCCGCGTGCACTCGGGATTCTACTTTTTTAACACCTCAAATGCAAACACTTATTGAAGTCAGTTCTTATAAATAGTTAAGTCAACAATAATAACTTCAAAGACTACTTATATAATCGGGGCGGCTGGGTAGCCTAGTAGTTAAAGCGTTCGCTCATCCTAGTGGTTAACGCGTTCGCTCGTCGACACGTGAAGATCCGGGGTAGAATAGGTCTTCAGCAACCCATGCGTGCCGTGAAAGGCGACTATGCTTGTCGTAACAGGCGACTAACGGGATCGGGTGGTCAGGCTCGCTGACTTGGTTGATGCATGTCATCGATCCCAATGACGTGGGTCGATAGTCATGATGTCAATCCCTGGATTGTCTGGCCAAGGCTGGATTATTTACAGACAAGCCGTCATTTAGCTGGAATATTGCTGTGTGCGGCGTTAAACAAGAAAACAAACGTTCGCTCGTCACGCCGAAGGCTCGGGTGCGATTCCACACATGGGTACAATGTGTGAAGCCCATTTCTGGTGTCCCCCAGCCGTGATTTTTCTGGAATATTGCTGACTCAAAAGTTGTTTGATCAAGGCTGCAACATTCAAACTCTGAGACGATAGCCCTGTATGGTCCGAGCTGTTTGAAACTGAAGGCACTCTGGGTCGAATCAACCGTCATGTTCGATAGTCATGCCTGGCGGTTTTCAACTACGGTTATGGCTTGTTCGGACGGGGCCATGAATACAAGATGAGGGTACTAGGTACTTTGAAATGATGTAAGATTTGTACTCTAGCTCTCAGTACCCTAATAAAACAGCCCCGGTCATCTTGAGTGAGTGAGTGAGTGAGTATGGTTTTAGCAATATTTCAGCAATATCACGGCGGGGGACACCAGAAATGGGCTTCACGCATTGTACCCATGTCGGGAATCGAACCCGGGTCTTCGGCGTGACGAGCGAACGCTTTAACCACTAGGCTACCCGACCGCCCCCGGTCATCTTGAGATATACGTGACATGTCATCAGACATGCACCCAGGCTGGACAATGTGTGTTAATTCAAAACATCTCTATTCACGAAGAATGTAGGCATGTAACCAGTGTCCATCCAGGTGGTCAGTATATATTATCAGTCAATATGGATCTTTCTGAAACAATTTTCATAATAAGTATATACATGCATGTAGACTGGTGTCGAATTTCATTTGTATCCATTGATGCCAAAAGCATAATCGTATATGTTACGTGCAGGGTATGATATACATTTAGTACGTATGTACTTCTCACGCAGTGTTGTATACCGGACACAAACCATTCAATGGTACCAATATTCATCTTCGGCGTAGCCTTCATTACAAAGAGTGTCAGTCTTTTATCTCTAGGGATATTGAAATACCTGCCAGTTTCTATATATTTTGAGTCCATGGAAACTGCAACGAAATTGCGCCATGGCCACTCGGAATTTGAAACTGTTACATGTTTAAGGTATCATTCCGTTCCAAAAGTACAATTTTTCGTTTCTTGTGCCAATCCAGGGCCCCTTCCACAAAGCGATCTTAGCGCTACGATTGTCGTAAGTCAGTGTTAAAGAATGGGAGTTACGACCGACTTAGCGTTAAGATAGCTTTGTGGAACGGGGCCCAGTTCTTCATCTTGTCATCAGTTCCCCGATAAAAGAATCTTTACCACTTACTGTTGGTCTTGCCCATACATAGCCAATTCCAAGTCGTAACAACAAATACTTCAATTTGGAAGTCCAATCATATTTGCCATTATTTGCTGCTTGTAAAAGCATATCATATCACTTTTTATATCTAATATGTGACATAAGCAATAATCTAAGCCAACCTTTTATAAGGTCATCTACCATCTGGTTTTGGTTGGAGGAAGACCTAGGTCTTATTCTGACGCCTGTCTTGTGTTAGCAAATTGCGCCACAGTTTGGAGAGTTGCGTCCCTTTCCATTAAGGGCCCGCGTCATGGTTCGAATCCTAGATGTGCCAGAACAATATACACAGTGTGGGGGTCAAGTGCGAATTCATACTACATGCATTACTTTATAATTTGGGCTTTCCTCCCATAATAAGATGACACACCGAGCTTTGACTGAAATATTGTTCTATGGGGAGTGAAACCCGCCATGTTTGTTCACTTGCATGATTCATTTATTCATTTTAAAAACATCATATTCAATAAATCGTGGTTGAATAGTATATATGGTTCTATCAACAAGGCGAATATTGAGAAAACCTTTCTTGCAAACCCACACAAATTCACACAAACATTGTTCGAAATAATGATATTCATATAATGTCATCCTCGTTCAAAAGTAAACTGCCGGGCAAAAGAAAGTATACACCAATGTTTGATGGTGGTAAAAATGAAACAAACAAGAAATGGTTATTCGATGGTGATGGAGTTGATACAGGTATCACAGTTGTGTTTTGGACCTGTTTTCAGCCTAGTAACGTTTTGATACATTTTGGGGCGGTCAGGTGGTTGAAGCGATCGCTCCTCACGCCGAAGACCCGGGTTCGATTCCCGACATGGGTACAATGTGTGAAGCCGAAATCTGGTGATATTCCGTGATATTCCTGAATATTGCTAAAATCGGCGAAAGACCATACTCACACGCTCACTTTGATAACATTTTGTAATGTGTTGGTCAAATCCAATTTTTAAGTGTACACTTTCTTTTGCCCGGCGGGTTAGATTGGCTTTTCCACTCAACCTTCTTATAGTTTTGTGGGTTTGTGTGTTGTGTACCCTACACCCGGGAATACAGCTCGTTAGGAATGAGTGTTCAGAGGATATGTACACAGTCACAAAAACTAATATTTCACTTAACTTTATCCCCTTGACCTGTAAATAATCGAGACTCGGACAGACAAACCAGTGATTGATATGCTGAACAAAGACCCTCCATCGATGTCACCCATTTCAGTCACCGAGTCTGACCACCAGATCCATTGCTACTTTGACCAACAATAGCGTGGAGGGGATCTATTCTAACCCGGGTCCGCTAATTGGTCCCGATTAAATTTATAGCGCGAGCCCGAAGCATTTACAAAATATAGCCGGAATATTGCTGAGTGCGGCGTTAAAGATCAAACAAACAAACAAACATTTACAACAATTACAATATGGCATCCCCATATTTCGCTTTATGACGACGGTCTGTAAATAAACGAGTCTGGACCCGACAATCCAGTGATTGACATCATGAGCATCGATCCACGCAATTGGGATACGATGACATGCATCAACCAAGTCAGCGAGCCTGACCACCCGATCACGTTAGTCGCCTTTGACGACAAGCATAGTCGCCTTTTATAGTAAGCATGGGTTGCTGAAGACCTATTCTACCCCGGATCTTCACAGGTCTTTACCACTTTGAAGCTGCAACAGCTACTTCTTATCAAAATCAACAAAACTATTTCAATATCCATAAGAAACATCTGCTAAAACAGTCGAATGTACGATTGACATTATGTCATGAACCCTTTTAACTTATTCCCTCCCCGTTATTGGACTTTTTACAGTTCATTTCCTGCCGTTTCCAAGAATCCAAGACGAAGTGACGTCACAAACCTATTAAACATTGATTTTATTAAGCTGTTGTAAAGAGCACTCTATTCCATTTTTCAAAGAGCCTCATACGACTCTTGGTCACAAGTTGTTGGATCAAGGTTACAACTTTCAAGGTTACAACGTTCAAGGCCTCAGTAAAGCTTTCAAAATGTTTTATGGTAGATATGTGGAGGACACTGCCAAATTTGACGCATCGGTGACAAAAATGATGTTCAATCCAATTCCCTATTTTGACTTGTACCATATGTTCCCATGTTTTTTCAGAACAATTTACTTGCCTTTGCATGTGTTTGTGATACCAGTGTGCCAGGATACGTTCACCCTTTCGCGAACACTTGGATTCATGACTATTTAATAGTAATTCATAAACACATACTCATGATATAGTCGGGGACGTACAATCGACTCTGCTTTATGCATATATTTCTATTGGCTATGGAAAGTTTTTTGTCGCTTTATTTGCATGAAAAATAACTTCCCCTCAAGTTTCCTACTCATAACATGTTGATGTTGATTGGGTATTGCCGCTTCAACGTAACCGTTATTCTGGACGGCGGTTAGCCGAGTGGACACAGCGTTGGCTAATCACGTTGGAACCATAAGTTTGATTCCAAACATGGTTGGTTGGTTGGTTTGTTGTTAAACCAGCACTCAGCAATATTCCAGCTTTATGACGGCGGTCTGTAAATAATCAAGTCTGGACCAGATAATACAGTGATTGACATCATGAGCATCATCCACGCAATTGGAACACGATGACATGCATCAACCAAGTCAGCGAGCCTGACCACCCGATTACGTTAGTCGCCTTTTACGGCAAGCATGGATTGCTGGAGACCTATTCTACCCCGGATTATCACGGGTCTCCGCACATGGGTACAATGTGTGAGGTAAATTTCTCGTGTCCTACGCCATGATATAGCAGGAGTATTTCTCAAAGCGGCATAAAAACATACTCACTCGAAATGTTACGATTGACGAGTAGCAACATTCGGTCTACAGAAAACAAAATTTATTATATACATGTCGTGCAGTAATGATTCATTACAAGATAACAAATACATCTCTGGAGTAAGGTGGTGGTGCTGTACAAAATAAATTCAATGTACACAAAACGTTGTTTGTTTATACAAAAAAAATATATAAATATATAAAATAATTTAATCCCTGTACAAACTTCTGCGGGTCTAGGATTCCACGGTGAACTGTATTTGTGTGACGTCAAGATTTGGTAGGATGATGATCTCGTGGGCGCGTGCGACGGGGGTCCGGTGGTTGTAGCGGTAGAGCTCGTCGTAGCCGGAGTAGATCTGAAGTGAGTGAGGAGTTGTGTGTAACGCCGCTTTAAACAAAATTACAGTAATAGCACAACGTGTCAGCTTGATGTGAGAGGAGTGAGTGAGTGAGTTTGGTTTTACGCCGCTTTTAGCAATATTCCAGCAATATCACGGCGGGGGACACCAGAAATGGGCTTCACACATTGTACCCATGTCGGGATTCGAACCCGGGTCTTCGGCGTAACGAGCGAACGCTTTAACTACTAGGCTACCCGACCGCCCCTTGATGTGAGAGGAAAGCCCGAAGTGATGCAGGTCTTAGACGTTACCACTGAGCACGCGTTCCGAGCTAATAATTTTTTGTGCAAGGATCATTATATGCACAGGTTCCTGGTCCCCTGAGGGACGCAAATCTGCAAAGCGTATTACAGTGTCTTAGACGACTTGGCCACTCGTACCCTCTACTTAGAACTGATCGAAGACAAAATTCCTTAATGCCGTGTTTTACAATACATTAGTTTTGTCACATTGTGAGGTAGTTAATCTAACCATAGTTAACTAAAATAATAATGTCTATGAAATCTTATTTACACAACCCAATCCAATTTTCTCCTCTAAATTACATTTTCCTCTTGCCAATTTCATTTGGAACAGAGCTGGCCAGACTGGCTTTTCTAAATTTTAACTGGTGTTGGTTTCATGCAATGCAATCCACAGTCGCTGAAGTGACGCATTAACTTGAAGAAGACAATAGCCACTTTGTATAAACTATTTAACTTGAACAGTTTTCGTTTTCATTATAAAATGCAGTTACCTCGGGAGGAACCTATGACGAGAAATATCATTTATCCTGAAAGGTAACTATTATCCCCCCCCCCCCCCCCCCCCAACTCCAAACCAAGAAACGTATGATGACAAAAACTAAATGTTCTGTACTTACAACAAATTCATACTCCGTCATCATGATGGCGAAGTCTACAGGGGTCCCCACAGCGATGGGTTGGACAGCTACCGTCTCTTCTTTCCCCGGGGTGGGGATCATCGAGTTCATCTTGAGCTCCGTCTTGTAGACGTCTATACCTAGCGTGACCTCGCTACCATCTCGGAGCTGCAGACTGAAGCTAAACATAGAGTTTTGGTTTACTGCATGGGTGTGCAGGCATGTGTCCCAATGGGGTGGGGGGAGGGGTTAACTAGAGTCTGATTTTTGGTAATTCCCGATCGATTGCAGTGTCAACAATACCGTCTGTATTACGTTACCAAGGACGACTGTTTCATCAACAATGTCATCTGTATTCCGTCACCAATGCCGTCAGTATTACATCATTAATGACGACTGTGTTAAGTCAACAATGATGCCTGCATTACGTCAACAATGACGACTGTGTTCCGTCAACAGTGACATCTGTATTACGTCGGCAGTGATGCCTGTATTACATCAACAATGATGACTGTGGTAACGTCAACAATGACATCTGTATTCCGTCACCAATGCCGTCTATATTACATCATGAATGACGACTGTGTTACGTCAACAATGATGCCTGTATTACATCAACAATGACGACTGTGGTTACGTCAACAATGACATCTGTATTACGTCACCTATGCCGTCTGTATTACATCATCAATGACGACTGTGTTACGTCAACAATGATGTTTGTATTACGTCAACAATGGCGTCTGTATTACGTCAATAACGGCGACAGCATGACGTCAACAATGACGACTGTGTTACGTCAACAGTGACATCTGTATAACTTCACAAATGTCGCCTCTATTACGTCAACAATGATGTTTGTATTACGTCAACAATGGCGTCTGTATTACGTCAATAACGGCAACAATATAACGTCCATAATACCGACTGTATTACGTCAACAATGACGCTTAAGTTACGTCAACAGTGCCGATTGTGTAATGTCTACAATGGCAACTGTAATACGCCCTCTGTATTATATCATAAATGACGACAGTGTTACGTCAATAATGATGCCTGTATTTCGTCAACAATGGCGTCTGTATTACGTCAACAATGGCGTCAGTGTGACGTCAGAAATGATGACCGTATTACGTTAACAATGACGACGAGGTTACACCTACAATGATGTCGGTATTACATCAACAGTGATGTCTGTATTACTTCTAAATGTCGTCTACATTACGTCAACAATGGTGCCTTTAATGGCGACAGTATGGCGTCAACAACAAGGACGGCTATGTTACGTCAACAATGGCGATTGTGGAACGTCAATCTTGGCAACTGTTAGACATCAACAACGACATCTGTAGTACGTCAACAATGACGTATGTATAGCGTTAAAATTAACGTCTGCATTACAACAATGATGCAGGGTGAAATTATTGTTCACTCGCTTGTATGGAACCATATCAAATTAAATTTAGTTTTGCAACTGAGGGACTGAACATGATTGTGTTGTCGGCAATATTCCCGTTATAACACGTCGGCCTATAAATAATCGAGTTTAAAAAATTTGGACCAGAAAAACCAGAGGTCGATATTGTGAGCAACGATCCATGCATTCGGGGCGCGATGACACGTTTATCAACCAGCACTGGTTGCTGGGGACTTATCCTAACCCGATATCATCGCGGGGAGCACTTACTAGGGTCCGGTGGTAGGGTCCAGAAGGGGTTTTCCGGTCACTCTGACCTGCAGACCTGCCTGATACCGACAGGGGAACTGCTGGACAAAACCCTACAAAAACAAATTAAAGCTACAATTATGACTGTAGCTACTATACATACTAACGCTTCTATAGCTACTATGGCAGTAGCCCAGTGACACAGTGATCCATCATTGACCAAAGGATTACACAACAATATCACTGCGCTAACACAATCGCTAACTCAACTTTTTATAAAATACGGATAAGGTATCATTTATTTCCGTAAACTGTGAAAAGTGTTTAAAATCTAAGAATGAGAATTGAAGAAGAGAATCTAAGAACGTTGTATTGATCTTAAAAAATAATTCTCGATATCAGTGATTAGTTATTTCTATATTTGAATAATTTATCCTATAGCGTGACAGATGATAAAAAAAACACATGCAGGTCGTATAAAGAATAAATTACTTAGTCTCAGAAATAAAATACCAAAATATAAGAAATAAAGTACCCCAAATATAATAAAAATTAAGAAAAACATCTGGCGACTACCGACTGATGTAATTATACCATATTAGGCACGGGACCGATGTTGTTCCAGGTGCCGAGAGTGCAGAAACCGTCCAGGCCTTCCCATTTGCCGGTGTTGTCGCAGATGATGGTGTGTCCCACCCCACAGAAGAAGAAGTCGTTGTTACAGGTGTGCTTCACCTCCGTCCCCACGCTTGTATCGACAGTATAGATGTTGCCGTTAGCGAGGGGGGTCGGGGGCTGGCAGTTGACGGCCGCCACCTCTGTGTGGGGAGAACACATATATAACGGTATTCGTTACAGGTACAGTGGCGATAATAAGCCGAATATATTTTATCCGAATATTAATTATCATACATTAAGAATCAAACTAAGTCTTGTATTATGCGAGACTTTGGCTAAATCCTCGAAGGTCCCCAACGAAAATGTATGGGTTTTGGTTGATACACGTTAAAAAAAGTGTGTGAGTGAGTATGGTTTTACGCCGCTTTTAGGAATTTAAGAGCAATATCACTCTGGGGACACCAGATAATTTGCTTCACACGTGGGTAATCGAACCCGGGTCTGAGGCGTGAGGCGAACACTTTATCCACTTATCTTCCTCTTGTGATGTATTGTTAGACTTTGTTTGTTTGTTTGTTTGTTGCCTAAAGCCGCACTCAGCAATATTCCAGCTATATGACGGCGGTTTGTAAATAATCGAGTCTGGACCAGACAATCAAGTGATTGATGTCATGAGCATCGATCCACGCAATTAGAATACAATGACATCAACCAAGTCAGCGAGCCTGACCCCCCGATCCCGTTAGTCGCCTCTTACGACAAGCATAGTCACCTTTTACGGCTGGACTAAATACCTCGGAGTGATTCCGAGAGAGGTCTCGATTAAGCAGGTTGTGTGTTTAAATGTGTACAGTGGGCAATCACCTGAGGGATACACCTGTATCTTGCGTATCATGATGTCGTCGTTGATGTAGGCGCTGTTGATGGCGGCGAACGGGGATCGGTGGACAAAATTGTGGATAGCAGTTCCATCGACTGCAACCTGTTGGAAATATATCCACATGTATCTCGTATTTCTGTTGTGGGTAGGTGAGTTGGGTATTTCAGTTAAATAACGGCGTGTCAGCTTAATGTCCCAAGCCCGAAGTGGGGCGGATCTCAGACCTTTAACCACGGAGCACATGTATAGTGTTCATAAACCAATTGCAAGGATAATCATTAGGGCGAATGTGGTCTTCTATCCCACGGTCATATATGAACACGTTCCTGGCACGCCTAAGGGACACAACTCTGCGGATATAATTACGGTGTCTTATAGGACTAAGCCACATGTGCCCCTGTGTGAACCTGGAGAAAACGCCACAGGGTTAACACCTAGTGTAACAGTATTGCAGTTACCGTATTTCCCCTACGAAGCACTCCAACAAGCTTCCAACCCGGCGGATAATGGGGGCCGGGCGGAAGTATTGAGAGACCCGGCGCTTAATATATCAACTACGGTGATGCATAAGCTGCAGTGACAAATGAGCTTGATGTGGGGATGAAGCCGTTGATGCCTACCACTCTGAGCCCATGAATACGGGTATGATGCTGACAGACCAATAACGAAGGAATTCGAACCCATGATTAGCGGATTGTGTCACAGCTAGGGGACGCAACTCTTAAAAGGATTCCGGAGCTTATGTCTATATTTGTGACCTATGAGAAAAGGGACCCTGGCGGTGTCAGGAAACAATTGTGCTGTGACGTCATAAAGACGTTTGACGTCAACTTCCTTTAGTGAAGATCGCCATTTGTGTGGACTGTACAATAATATCTTATTTGTGTCTTGTTAGTTCGTTAATGTAATACAAACATTATTTCAAAACTGTTCAGCAGACATATTTAATTCATTAGATATTATGTAAAAACTGTAATTACAGTAAACTACGTTTATAACGAACACGCTTACAACGAACTGACGGATATAACGAACCTAGTTTTTTGTCCCGACTATTTGCTGTCGTTATGCTGTATATATGCTTATAACGAACCACGGTTATAACGAACTAAAATTAGTGGTCCCTTGGAGTTCGTTATAACCGTAGTTTACTGTATTACATAAACTGTTATAAGTCGAAATATGAGTCCAAATGTTTGATGCCATGTTTCTCTGGAATAAATATGAATTAAAGCTTGTGAATTTTTGTATTTTTGTGTGCCGAAGATAGTAGTTGTAAAATATAATGAAAAGTTAAAATGTGATTGTTCACGCATAAGGTCCCTTATCTCCTGATAGGTCACATATAATATTTAATTTTACTTTAGAATTCAGCAAATATGAAACATCAACAATATGCAATAACCATCATTACCGATTCTGTGTTGAAAACAGATTCCATTGGGCGATAACGGCAAACTAGTGGTGAAAAGTACATAAATATGAATGGATCTTGATTATAAGTGTCCTGCCCTACCGGTGGCACCTTCCACTCACACGATTAGCATAATGAGTGAGTGAGATTTGTTTTACGCCGCATTTAGCAATAATCCTGCAGTATCACGGCGGGGGACACCAGAAATGGGCTTCACACATTGTACCCATGTGGGGGATCGAACCCGGGTCTTCGTGACGAGCGATCGCTTTAACCCCTCGGTTACCCCACCGCCCGTACAATTTGCATAAAAAATAAGTGTTCGCTTTACAACACAGTTGGCATGGCGACAGTTTTAATGTCTGGGTCCAAATATTTATTTTGTATTGGAGCATAATTGATAAATGCTGCTGAGCTTATGATGAAACTCGGGGACTTCATCCCACCACCCGCAGCAACAATAAATACCTGACGAGGGTAACGTTCAGATAACGCCTTTGACTTAATCTTTGGCTAGTGTTTGATTTTAAGGCCGCTTTGAACAGCATAACAGTTACATCACGGAATATCCTTGTGGTGTGGGAGGAGAGCTAGAAGTACGGTATTTGAACATTCACTACCTTGGTGAAACTCACGAGCATAGGTATGGTGCTGACAAACCTAGGCACACAATCTGGTCGCGTCTGGGATACGAACCCACTATCATAGGTTTCAGCTACACCTAAGGGACACAACTCTGCTCAGCGAATTGCGGTGCTCAATTCAACTGAACCTCTCGTGCCCCGAGTCGAACTTAAATGAGATTTAACATACTTTGAAGTAGTTCTGTTCCACTGTGATGGTGAGATGGAATTCCCGCATCAGTTGGAAGGGGAAGAGAATGCTCTCATCCTGAGTCCCCCAGATTTGGTCCAGGTTAGCGTTATAGATAACCGTGTTGGTCAATCCCCCCAGGTTGAACCCGACTGTCACGATCAACAACGTGTCTGCACCACTCCGCAGACTGATGCTGAACCTGTGGAAAAACAGTTGGACCTGGATAATGCGGATCTTGTTAAAACGGAATTCGTTAAAGCGACCCATTTTAGTGCGGATCTCGTTCCTGACCAGCCGATCCCGTTCGTCGCCTCTCACGACAAGCATGGGTTGCTGAAGACCTATTCTACCCCGGATCTTCACGGGGTGTATGTATAACACGATAAAAGTGCACGGTGAGCGGAATATCTGCTCTCACGCCACAAGCACAACGATGAGCGGAGAAGCGACAGCTTAAGTTTCCAGCTCAGACACTCAAAGATTGTGCACATTGACATAGACTTACTACCTACAGTACAGGTGCATATTGATAAGTACTTACTTAGTTCGTCGCAGTGGCCGGCCATACACAGAGAAGACGGAGCCCAGTCCAAACGAGCAGGGGAACGGCATAGACGCGGGCATAGGCTGTGGAGATATTCAGATATATAAGTAATATAGACTGGTTTAGTAGATGCAAACGTCTTTGGGGATTCCGCAGCATTGGTTTCAAAACACATAAGAGCGGGTGGCCAGGCTCGGTAACCCTGATCACGTGGATTGTTGCTCATTCTTAACTGATTTGTCCGTCTAAACAGAATATTTATCAGCCTTTCATGATATAGCTGTGTGTGTTTGTGGCTGCTTGTACTAGTCCGGACTACTGCAGGTTCGATAGTGCTAGCCCTACGGAATGCCATGCCGAAGTTTAACATGAGTGAGTGAGTTGGGTTTAACGCCGCTTTTAACGGTATTCCAGTTATATCGAGGCGTATATATATATATATAATATATATGTCTGAAAGCAATCCAATCAGGACCCGACAATCCAGTGATTGACGTCATGAGCATCGATCCACGCAACTGGGATATGATGACATGCATCAACCAAGTCAGCGAGCCTGACCACCCGATCCCGTTAGTCGCCTCTTACGGCAAGCATGGGCTGCTGAAGAACACGTTTAACCTGGATCTTCACGAGGGTCGTGCATATCTAAACCTTTTACAGTTGCGGTGGTGATTACCTTCATGACCTACCCGTCTATGCCACGTGGCCAGCAGACACTCCCCCTTCAGCCCCTCCCACGTGCCTGCCTCGGTGCACGTGCTGATGTGACTCTCCCCACAGAAAGTAAACATGAGGTGACAGGTGTACACTGCCTCCCCCACCAGGCCGTTCTCCCGCACGTACAGGTTGGTGTCGGTCATAGGCGGCGGGAGCCCGCACTTGTGAATAGGTGTTGCTGAAATAGACATAACGCTGTAGGTAAACACTGGAGATAGGTGTTGCTGAAATAGATATAACGCTGTAGGTAAACACTGGAGATAGGTGATGCTGAAATAGACATAACGCTGTAGGTAAACACAGGTGATAGGTGTTGCTGAAATAGAAATAACGCTGTAGGTAAACACTGGAGATAGGTGTTGCTGAAATAGACATAAGGCTACAGGTAAACACTGGAAATAGGTGTTGCTGAAATAGACATAACGCTGTAGGTAAACACTGGAGATAGGTGTTGCTGAAATAGATATAACGCTGTAGGTAAACACTGGAGATAGGTGATGCTGAAATAGACATAACGCTGTAGGTAAACACAGGTGATAGGTGTTGCTGAAATAGAAATAACGCTGTAGGTAAACACTGGAGATAGGTGATGCTGAAATAGACATAACGCTGTAGGTAAACACTGGAGATAGGTGTTGCTGAAATAGACATAACGCTGTAGGTAAACACTGGAGATAGGTGTTGCTGAAATAGACATAACGCTGTAGGTAAACATTGAAGATAGATGTTGCTGAAATAGACATAACGCTGTAGGTAAACACAGGTGATAGGTGTTGCTGAAATAGACATAACGCTGAAGGTAAACACTGGGGATAGGTGTTGCTGAAATAGACATAACGCTGTAGGCAAACAATGGAGATAGGTGATGCTGAAATAGACATAACGCTGTAGGTAAACACAGGTGATAGGTGTTGCTGAAATAGACATAACGCTGTAGGTAAACACTGGAGATAGGTGATGCTGAAATAGACATAACGCTGTAGGTAAACACTGGAGATAGGTGTTGCTGAAATAGAAATAACGCTGTAGGTAAACATTGAAGATAGATGTTGCTGAAATAGACATAACGCTGTAGGTAAACACAGGTGATAGGTGTTGCTGAAATAGACATAACGCTGTAGGTAAACACTGGAGATAGGTGTTGCTGAAATAGAAATAACGCTGTAGGTAAACACTGGAGATAGGTGTTGCTGAAATAGATATAACACTGTAGGTAAACACTGGAGATAGGTGTTGCTGAAATAGACATAACGCTGTAGGTAAACACAGGAGATAGGTGTTGCTTAAATAGACATAACGCTGTTAATAAACACTGGAGAGAGAGAGACACACACAGAGAGAGAGAGAGAGAGAGAGAGAGGGGGGGGGGGGGGGGTAAGAGAGAGGAGAAGAGAAAGAGTGAGAGACAGCTTTTACTATAGTTCCAGCAATATGAAGGCGGTCAGAACACAGCTTTTCACCGTGACAACCAAACAATTGTCTGTTGCTGAATCAAGACGCTGGCATCACTTACTGAATATCCATTCTGCTGCCGAGGAGTCGGTTTGGCCCGTCAGGAAGTAGTTTATCGGGTACTCGGAGTCCGACGTCTCCAGGAAGGCGTTGACTCCAGGAACATACCCAGCACCTATCTTGATGTTCCCGCCGCCCCAGCTCGCCCAGAATGGGGTGAACTTTGTACACTCGAGAGGCTGGTGCCACGTGACTGTCATGTTGGCACACGCTTGACATTTGCGGATGGTGGACATGGTGTTGCCATCCTCCCCCAGGTACACGAGGTAAGACTGGCTCGTGACCGAGTCCGCCGTCGCCAACTTGAAGTGGATGTTCCCACAGGACTTGACTTTGAAGGTGATGAAGCTCGCGTCCTTTACCTCGATACTCTGGTGGGGCACCACGCCCAGGCTTAGCTCGGGCATGTAGGATTGCAAGGAATCTGGAACAGTGTTCATGTTGAGGATTGAGTGAGTGAGTGAGTGAGTTTGATTTTACGCCGCTTTTAGCAATATTCCAGCAATATCACGGCGGGGGACACCAGAAATGGGCTTCACACATTGTACCCATGTCGGGAATCGAACTCGGGTCTTCGGCGTGACGAGCGAACGCTTTAACCACTAGGCTACCCGACCGCCCCTGTTGAGGATTGAAGATGATGATGATAAATGATGATGATGATGATGATGATGATGATGATGATAATGATGATGATGGTCGGTGTCATAATATGAACATCAAAATTCATGACGATAACGATAAATATAATAACATAATGTGCATCTCTACATCATATATACAGCTTTAGAGGTTGCAGGATTAGAAAACATATTCCGCTAACAATGTAACATAACAATATGAATATTTCATTTTTTATTACAACGTGTTTGAATCGTTATCTATCGTGTAGTTGTCCGATTTTCGGTCACGAACGTTGATACCACTTAATTTCGTTGATCCGACATACTTGTTAATCCGACATAATCATATGCAACCAACCATGTCGGATTAACGGGACTTGACTGTATACAGGTCAGTCAGTATATCTAGTATATCTAACATACCTACAATCCTTTCAGTGTGTGGTACACACTATGCGCAAAGACTTAGTAAAATTTACTCAAAGCCAAAACTTCTACTTTCATATTGGATATTCTTTCGAAATGAAAAACAGTTGCGGTGTAACAATCTGTCACAGAATGATAGAAGACTATGATGATTAACATGTAACTCTATGAAGAATTGGGTTAGAATTAATCTTCAGCAACCCATGCTTGTGGCCAGATCCGACTAACGGGATCGAGTGGACAGGCTCACTGACCTGGTTGATGCATGCCATTATATCTCAATCATCCATGCTCATGATGTTAATCGCTGGATTGTCTGGTCCAGACACGGTTATGCACAGACCGCGTCATATTGCTATATGGAATATTGCTGAGTGCGGCGTTAAAGAACAAACAAACAAAACAAAAGTAACTTGTATATGGGTCACTTGGTCAGTGACAATGTGGTCACCTACTGGACGGTTTTATGGTCACTTTCCTGATGGTGATTTCGTCAGCGATGACCAGCGCATCCACAGTCGGAACCGGAAGCACGTGCTCGAAGTGAAATGCTGGCTTGTCCTCGATCTCAATCTGAAGTGGGTCGTTAAAATTTAATGTCGATATTATAAATTGAACGCACGTGCACGATCGGTATAGGTAGAGAGGACAGGTGGTGATTGGTCTCAAATATTTGATTTGTATTTGACATATTTATTCTCACATTCAAAACGTACCTTGTATGCTCGTTGTGTGACCGATATGACGATCTTGAACTCCTTCCCGACCTCGAAGGGGAAGTACGCCCAGGCAATGGAGCTCTTGCCAACACCTCCCTCTTCAGCACCGAATGTCACCTTGGTGCGCGTGGTGCCGCACTGGAAGCAGATGGTGATGAGGAGAGCCTTGTCGGTGCCGCTGATCAGGTCGATCATGGATCTGTCAGATAAACAGCGGAACAGTTGTAGGAATAATTCAGGGTAGATCACAGATCTTTCAGATACACTGTCGACCAGTTATAGGAATAATTCAGAATAGACCGTGGATCTGTCGTATACACTGTCGACCAGTTTTAGGAATAATTCAGAACAGACCGTGCATCTGTCAGATACACTGTCGATCTGTCATAGGATTAATTCTAAATAGGCCGTGGATCTGTCAGATAAATTGTCGACCAGTTAAAGGAATAATTCAGAACAGACCGTGGATCTTTCAGATAAACTGTCGACCATTTATAGGAATAATTCAGAATAGACCGTGGATCTGTAAGATAAATTGTCGACTAGTTATAGGAATAATTCAGAATAGACCGTGGATCTGTAAGATAAATTGTCGACCAGTTATAGGAATAATTCAGAACAGACCGTGGATCTGTCAGATAAACTGTCGACCATTTATAGGAATAATTCAGAATAGACCGTGGATCTGTAAGATAAATTGTCGACTAGTTATAGGAATAATTCAGAATAGACCGTGGATCTGTAAGATAAATTGTCGACCAGTTATAGGAATAATTCAGAACAGACCGTGGATCTGTCAGATAAACTGTCGACCATTTATAGGAATAATTCAGAATAGACCGTGGATCTGTAAGATAAATTGTCGACTAGTTATAGGAATAATTCAGAATAGACCGTGGATCTGTCAGATAAATTGTCGACCAGTTATAGGAATAATTCAGAATAGACCGTCGATCTGTCAGATACACTTTCAACCAGTCATAGGAATAATTCAGAATAGACCGTGTATCTGTCCGATAAACTGTCGACCAGTTATATGTAAAATTCAGAATAGAACGTGGATCTGTCCGATAAACTGTCGACCAGTTATAGGAATAATTCAGGGTAGACCGTGGATCTGTCTGATAAATTATCGACTAGTTGTAGGAATAATTCTGGGTAGACCGTGAATCTGTCATATATACTGTCGACCAGTTATCATGGGAACATTCCGAAGCTGATCATGGGTCTGTCAGGGACACCGTTGTGACAAGCATCGTGGGACAGCGCTGAGTGCTTCAACTTGTGAAGAAGTCACACCTGTTACAAGCGGGCAGTTCCCGTGACTTTATAGAGTTCATTCAGTTCACGGGTTGTCGTAAAAGAGCACGTGCACATGTACAGCAAACCCACCTAGTTGTTACAACATGCAGGTGTGCACCACGTCACGTGACACCGGCGTCAATGTGACAATGACAAAGGGACGTTCCAGACCACCCATGCTGTACATAGATCATATTACCTTTTTTGAAAGTTATTGTCTCTAGTTCCATTTAATCAACACGCTATCTCGAATTTATAGCAACTCCTTTGTCATGAATAGGCGCCGGTTATTTCTGATTCGAAAGTGCCTTACATTAGACTCAATGGGTGATCGGCATTTTTTTAAGGCAGTTGTTTATGCAAAGATGACCATCAAAGCATTTTGACGAATATAGCAGTGTTGACGCATGCGCTGAACATAATACTTACTTCCGGAATCGAGTCGGGGTCCCATGTACCGTGATTACTGTGCCCTCGGCGAATGGGCACAAGAAGTTCTGGCGGAACATCACTCTCTGGAAGGGAATTGATTAAAGGAAATAATAATAATAACTATAATAATAATAATAATAATAGTGAGTGAGTGAATTTGGGTTTACGACGCTTTTAGCAATATTCCAGCAATATCACGGCGGGGGACACCAGAAATGGGCTTCACACATTGTACCCATGTCGGGATTCGAACCCGGGTCTTCGGCGTGACGAGCGAACGATTTAACCACTAGGCTACTCGACCGCCAATAGTAATAATAATAATAATAATAATAATAATTGTCCCAATATTGTATTCAACATTTTAGTTCATATCAAGTTTTGTGTTTGTTGTTTAACGCCGCATTCATTATATATTCAAGCTATATGACGGCGGTCTATAAAGAAGCGACTCTGGACCAGACAATCCACTGGTTGATATTGTGAGCATCGATCCACGCCGTCGGGGTACGATGACACACTAGCAAACCAAGTCACGGAGCCTGGCCAGCCGATCCATTTGGTCGCCTGTCACGACCAGCATTGGTTGCAGGGGACCTCTTCTAACCCGGTAGTGGGCCAGCAAACATTTAACGCCAAAGTCAGAAATATTCGTCTCTATCCCGGCGGTCAGTACTAATCGAATCTGGACCAGACAATCCAGTGACTGGAAACATGAGCAGCGATCCACGTCATCGGCGCCATGTCAGCGAGGCTGACCATCCGACCCTTTCAGCTGGCTGCATATAGCAGCTGGTGCCAACTAAATTACTCTGTCAAAGGCCGTACCGGGTAGTTCCACACTGACTGTACGCATGCGCCATCAATCTGCTCCCACGTGCCGTTGCCTGGACACGTGCTAACTGCACGTGACCCACAAAATGAGAATCCTGCGTCACACGTGTATATAGCCTCGGACCCAAAATGTTTGTGCTGAAGTTCGGTGCTTGCTCGGGCAAGGGTTGGAGGGTTTTTGCACTCAAGAGCAGCAAGAGCTGAAAGGATAAAGAAAAGAGCATGACATTGTTCTCATCAGTAATACGCCGTCGTTAATGTTTATTTGTTTGTTTATTGTTTAAAGTCGCACTCAGCAATATTCCAGCTGTATGACGGCGGTCTGTAAATAATCGTGTTTGGACCAGACAATCCAGTGATTGACCTCATGAGCATCGATCTACGTAAGTGGGATATGGAATAACCAAATCAGCGAGCTTGACCACCCGATCCAGTTAGCTGCCTCTTACGACAAGTATGTACAGGTAGGCCAATGAAGCAGATAGTCTATATGATCAAGATTATCCACTCTTCAGGCAGAGCGTTTGTTTGATTCACGTTTTATGATGTATATCAGTCGTTGTTCAGAGACAATGGTGAAATTACAAGGTCTCGAAGATACTCACTCTCTCACTCAAGATTCACTCACTCATGTCCTCATTCAACCGACCCTTCCTCTTTCACTCACTTTCACCTCATTCACTCGCTGTCTCACCCACTCGCCCGTTAACTCTCTCAATCATTCACTCACCCCTCACCCACTCACTCCATCCTTTGTAGACTTCTTCATTTACTCATTCTCTCCTTTAATCAACCCTTCGGGGGCACGGGTGGCCCAGTCGTCTAAGGCGCCGCGATTCGCTGTGCAGAGTTGCGTTCCTTGGGCACGCCAGACACCTATGAATGTGGGTTCGAATCCCGGTTCTCCCCGATTATGTTTCTAGGTTTGTCAGCACCATACCCGTGCTCGTGGGTTTCACCGAAGCGGTTAACGTCTGAGACCTGCATCACTTCAGGCTTTCCTCCCACATTAAGCTGACACGCCGTGATATAACTGAAATACTGTTAAAACGGCGTTAAACCCTACTCACTCACTCGCTCACTTAATCAACCCTTCACTCACTCCACACCGTGTTTCTGCACTCATTCCTTCATTTCTGCCCTCATGATTTTATATAACTTCTTCACACATTTCTTCACTCACCATTGATCTGTTTCTGTTCTGCCATAAAGTCTTCCAGAACGAGGATCTTGTCCAGGGCTCCGTCCACCTCGTCGGTGCAGTTGCAGTAGTACTGTATCACGGGTTCGGGCGCCGCTGCAGTGGTACACGGGGTGGGCTGGGTCGTCGTTGGTGTCGTTGTGGGCTGTGTTGTCGTAGCCACTGTTGTAGTAGTGGATTGTGTTGATGTCGTCGGAGTCGTTACAGATGTGGATTCTTTAGTTGTAGTAGTTGTTGTCTGGGTAGATGTTGTTGGTGGTGGTGTCGTTGTTGATGTCGTCGTTGTTGTTGTTGTTGTTGTTGTTGTAGTCGGTGTAGTTGTTGTAGTTGCTGTTGTTGTTGTAGTTGCTGTAGTTGTTGTGGTTGGAGTCGTTGGTGTTGTAATGGTTGTCGTTGTCTCTACTGGTGTAGTTGCAGTTGTTGTCGTGGTTATTGTCGGTGATGTCGTAGGAGCGTTTGTTGAAGTAGAAAGTGTTGTTGAAGTACTGGCATCAGAAGCAGTTGTTGACCCACTTGTATCAGTACCGCCAGTCAATGTACCACTTGTATCAGTACCGCCAGTCGGTGTTCCACTTGTATCAGTACCGCCAGTCGATGTACCACTTGTATCAGTACCGCTAGTCGGTGTTCCAGTACCGCCAGTCGATGTTCCACTTGTATCAGTACCGCCAGTCGATGTTCCAGTACCGCCAGTCGGTGTACCACTTGTATCAGTACCGCCAGTCGGTGTTCCACTTGTATCAGTACCGCCAGTCGGTGTTCCAGTACCGCCAGTCGGTGTTCCACTTGTATCAGTACCGCCAGTCGGTGTACCACTTGTATCAGTACCGCCAGTCGGTGTTCCACTTGTATCAGTACCGCCAGTCGGTGTTCCACTTGTATCAGTACCGCCAGTCGGTGTTCCACTTGTATCAGTACCGCCAGTCGGTGTACCACTTGTATCAGTACCGCCATTCGATGTTCCAGTACCGCCAGTCGGTGTTCCACTTGTATCAGTACCGCCAGTCGGTGTTCCACTTGTATCAGTACCGCCAGTCGGTGTTCCACTTGTATCAGTACCGCCAGTCGATGTACCAGTACCGCCAGTCGGTGTTCCACTTGTATCAGTACCGCCAGTCGGTGTTCCACTTGTATCAGTACCGCCAGTCGGTGTTCCACTTGTATCAGTACCGCCAGTCGATGTTCCAGTACCGCCAGTCGGTGTTCCACTTGTATCAGTACCGCCAGTCGGTGTACCACTTGTATCAGTACCACCAGTCGATGTTTCAGTACCGCCAGTCGGTGTACCACTTGTATCAGTACCGCCAGTCGGTGTTCCACTTGTATCAGTACCACCAGTCGGTGTTCCAGTACCGCCAGTCGGTGTTCCACTTGTATCAGTACCACCAGTCGGTGTTCCACTTGTATCAGTACCACCAGTCGTTGTTCCAGTACCGCCAGTCGGTGTTCCACTTGTATCAGTACCGCCAGTCGGTGTTCCAGTACCGCCAGTCGATGTTCCAGTACCGCCAGTCGGTGAACCACTTGTATCAGTACCGCCAGTCGGTGTTCCACTTGTACCAATACCGCCTGTCGGTGTTCCAGTACCGCCAGTCGGTGTTCCAGTACCGCCAGTCGGTGTTCCACTTGTATCAGTACCGCCAGTCGGTGTTCCAGTACCGCCAGTCGGTGTACCACTTGTATCAGTACCGCCAGTCGGTGTTCCACTTGTACCAATACCGCCAGTCGGTGTTCCAGTACCGCCAGTCGGTGTTCCACTTGTATCAGTACCGCCAGTCGGTGTTCCACTTGTATCAGTACCGCCAGTCGGTGTTCCACTTGTGTCAGTACCGCCAGTCGGTGTACCACTTGTATCAGTACCGCCAGTCGTTGTTCCACTTGTATCAGTACCGCCAGTCGGTGTTCCAGTATCGCCAGTCGGTGTTCCACTTGTATCAGTACCGCCAGTCGGTGTACCACTTGTATCAGTACCGCCAGTCGGTGTTCCAGTACCGCCAGTCGGTGTTCCACTTGTATCAGTACCGCCAGTCGGTGTTCCAGTATCGCCAGTCGGTGTTCCACTTGTATCAGTACCGCCAGTCGGTGTACCACTTGTATCAGTACCGCCAGTCGGTGTTCCAGTACCGCCAGTCGGTGTTCCACTTGTATCAGTACCGCCAGTCGGTGTTCCAGTACCGCCAGTCGGTGTTCCACTTGTACCAATACCGCCTGTCGGTGTTCCAGTACCGCCAGTCGGTGTTCCAGTACCGCCAGTCGGTGTTCCACTTGTATCAGTACCGCTAGTCGGTGTTCCAGTACCGCCAGTCGGTGTTCCACTTGTACCAATACCGCCAGTCGGTGTTCCACTATCAACTCTAGTGCCAGTGCTGGACGTGTGGTCGTTCAGATAGGAGAAGGTCCCATCTTTTTGCGCCACGAGGGTCCCAACTGGCCCTTTGTCAGCCACACCCTGGTGGGATGAGGGAGCGTCCCAGTGGTTGTAGAGGGGCGAGGGGTCACTGATATATGTCGGATTGTATTCAGATGTTTTACCTTCAGAAATATATACACATAATTAATAATTACCTACTCAAATGGTTCTGTGTCGTGGTTGATAATAAGTATTACTCAATTCATAAATGAGCAAATGTTTTCGAAATTGTTATAAAAGTAAATGTCATTTGAACCACAATTCTTTGGAGTTGGAGTTTGGAGATAAATTTAAAATGTGCTAAGCAGGATGATTTGAGAAGTTTTCATGAATAGTTCACGTATATTCACGAGAAGAGGCGGTCGGGTAGCCTAGTGGTTAAAGCGTCCGCTCGTCATGCCGAAGACCCGGGTTCGAATCCCGACATGGGTACAATGTGTGAAGCCCATTTCTGGTGTCCCCCGCCGTGATATTGCTGGAATATTGCTAAAAGCGGCGTAAAACCATACTCACTCACTCACTTTGCATTTTAGAGGACAAGAATCACCCAAATATTGTTAGAATCTTATAAAATTATTCTCGCTCATTTATAAAGACACCGAGAACTGGAAAAAAATCGGTTTTTCTTAATGGGAAATGGTTCACACATCAACGTTTATGTTTTGGTGCTCTCTCTATATGGCCAGTGACCTTCATAAGAATAGAGACTTCACCGACAACAGAAACTGAGTAGCAAAGGACACTACACCTCTCACTTAGTGTTATCAGATGTTTGATTTTTAGTTGAAAATGTCTTACGTCACCAATGCCCAAAAATATTAAGGGTACTGCTTCCAATTGGTTCTATCTTTTTACTTTTAAAAATTAAAAAAAACTAACAATCGCATAATATACAACTGCCGATTGGTATCTAAAACATGCTAATTTGAAAATCAATAAATTTGCATTTTTCTGCACAAATTTACATTTCAAACATTGTAGGGGGCATTTGGTTGCAAATTCATTTCTTACTCCATTTGTCATTGAACCAATTTAAATTTATTTGTCCACAAAATTGCTGTCACAGGTTACTTTTTTCACAAACTGTTGCAGGATCGAGTGATGGTTAAGTGGACATGATCAAATTTAACAAAAGTTCTTTAAATTTTCAATTACATAAAAAAAGATTTGGCCCCTCAGTTTATGTAGTATAATGATAGTAGATTAATGTTGAGTCGTGGGGATGTTTGTCACCTGCTCTGTCGACGCAGTCGTTGTAGGAGAAGGTGTATCCGGCAGGACAGTGTCTGATGGAGATGGTGCGGCCCTCCCGACATTCCAGGTAGTCTCCTAGCTCCGCTGTAGCCGTGTAGTCCTGGAAACCATCAGCTTGATGCTTACAGTCCGCGTCACAGGGGATGCAGCTGTCCCCATTCGACAGGCAGTGGCCCACCTTGTACTCGCCTAGCACGGGGAACATGTGGATTAGTGGGTTGTCGACAATTGTCACCTTGTACTCGCCTAGCACGGGGAACATGTGGATTAGTGGGTTGTCGACAATTGTCACCTTGTACTCGCCTAGCACGGGGAACATGTGGATTAGTGGGTTGTCAACAATTGTCACCTTGTACTCGCCTAGCACGGGGAACATGTGGATTAGTGGGTTGTCGACAATTGTCACCATGTACTCGCCTAGCACGGGGAACATGTGGATTAGTGGGTTGTCAACAATTGTCACCTTGTACTCGCCTAGCACGGGGAACATGTGGATTAGTGGGTTGTCGACAATTGTCACCTTGTACTCGCCTATCACGGGGAACATGTGGATTAGTGGGTTGTCAACAATTGTCACATTGTACTTGCCTAACATGGAAATCTGGGGATCAGTGGCTTGTCAACAATTGTCACCTTGTACTCGCCTAAGAGGGAAATATGTGGATTAGTAGGTTGCCAACAATTGTCACTTTGTACTCGCCTAACAGGGAAACATGTGGATTAGTAGGTTGTCAACAATTGTCACCTTGTACTTGCCTAACACGAGGAAATATATGGATTAGTAGGTTGCCAACAATTGTCACCTTGTACTCGCCTAACACAAGGAAATATATGGATTAGTAGGTTGTCCACAATTTTCGCCTTGTACTTGCCTAACAGGGAATCATGTGGATTAGTAGGTTGTCAACAAGTGTCACCTTGTACTCGCCTAACATAGAAACATGGGGATTAGTTGTTTGTCAACAATTGTCACATTGTACTTGCCTAACATGGAAATCTGGGGATTAGTGGGTTGTCAACAAGTGTCACCTTGTACTCGCCTAACATAGAAACATGGGGATTAGTTGTTTGTCAACAATTGTCACATTGTACTTGCCTAACATAGAAATCTGGGGATTAGTGGGTTGTCAACAAGTGTCACCTTGTACTCGCCTAACAGGGAAACATGTGAATTAGAAGGTTGTCAACAAATCACTCTTTCCTAGCCTGGCACAGGACAACATGTGGATGGTGTGGTAATCGAGTCTGGTTATTCTCTGGCATTGACTTTTCATGTTTCCAAAACATACTGGATAAAAAGGATTTTTTGTTAGGTTTTCCCTCCCAAAGCAAATGTTCACTGGACATTATTGACGTGTTGCTAAGACAATAAACAATTGATCGGTTCGTCTTATAATATATTATTGTCTTTAAGCAGTTACCTAACGATATGCGATTTATAACCGATTCCCTTATATAGTCATGAATTATTGCCAAACATGCACCACCGACTACGAGACAGAAAACGTCGTGCTTCGGGGCTGGATTTGAATTGTGTAAATGTTGTTAGATACCGCGTCACTCGTCTCACACACACACACACACACACACACACACACACACACACACACACACACACACACACACACACACACACACACACACACACGCAATAATCTTGGACGCAACGTCAAACACCATTTCTCCTCACCTCACCTCTTGTACCGTGTAGAATACAGATGCCTGTTTACTATCGCTACCATGTACTTACATGGGGACTTGGGCTCCCAGCGGTGACCGCAGTCGACCTGGCTGTACGGTTTACAGGTGCCCGTTATTGCATCGTACAGCTGCTTGTAGGGGCATTCCGACTCGTACATGTCAAACTGAATGTAGTGCACCCTTTTCCTACAGTCGTAGTATTTAGCGCAGTTTGCAGCATCGGTGAATGTGGCTGTAGGATTCTGTGTGCAGTAGGTCGCAATACTTGCTGAAACAGCAAAAACAGTTTGTTGATTCGTAAATGTGGCCATGAGACCAACAGTGCATCCTGGTCAAATTGTAAATGTTACAATGAGCGCACCTTCATAAATGCTGTACAAAACATTATGTTTTTTTCACAAACGAACTGTTATCTTGCGAAATATAAGATACAATAATAGAGGTAGCTTAAATAGGAGATTACCATCATCGGAAGAGGTTCAAATGACAAAGTACTGGGGTAAATATTTTCTTATACATATTTTCTTATTTTCGAACATAAACTATTGGACAGCGTAATGTGTAGAAATCAATATAGCAACAATACAAAACTCGCAATAAAAAGTTCATTAAAAGGACAATACCATAGTTTATCTGTCATGGCTGGTTCTGCAACCAACCTTTCAATTGCGGGTTTTATTTAAATTGCTATATATAGCACAGATAGAACGTATTTTACAAAGGAAAATAAAGCCGGTTTTTTTTAATGTTTGTAATGAAATAATGAAAAAAACGCACAACCAACCTTTGTACACGCTGGAACATTTCATGGTCAGTGGGTCGAAGACCTGTGATCCTCCGGGACATTTAAACGGTGAATAAGTCTTATTTAAATGGCAGTAAATATAGTTCTTGGAAAATGGTTGATCTGGAACCGCCATGACGCCGTCGGGGCGTCCCTCGCATGGTCCGCATTCCTTTGCATAGTCGCCTGCAAGTGATCCATAACTAGAGTGAGTGAGTGAGTGAGTAACAGTTACAGTAAACTACGGTTATAACCAACTCAAAGGGAGCGCTAATTTAAGTTCGGTATAACCGCAGTTCGTTATATGCATATATACGGCACATATACAGCAAATGGCCGGGACCAAAATATAAGTTCGTGATATATGTCAGTTCGATATAAGCGTGTTGGTTATAAACGTAGTTTACTGTACTAGTATATCACGGCGTGTCAGCTTCATGTTGCGGGGGGGGGGGGGGGGGGGGGGGGGGGGGGGGATGATGCAGACATTTACCACTTTGATGAACATGAACACGGGTATGACGGACGCAGACACACCTGGACATATAATCAGTGCGATTCGGGAGTCAAACCCACGATCACAGGATTCTGGCACGCCTAAGGGACGCAACTCTTCACAGCGGATAGGTTTACCGTGTCCCCTTCCCTGCTTTCAACTCATCAGACAGTGTTACAACGGGTAGTTAATAACATTTAAGTTACTGTATATTTTCAGTCAACCAAAAGAGCAGTGACCCATGCTTTTCACAAGAGATGACGTAAGAGGCGACTAACGGGATCGGGTGGTTAGAGTATGTTCACTGGTGCTACATCCTCTACGAAACTCTCACGCTTCTCATTTCTTTGGGCCCGTGAAGATCCAGGGTAGAATAGGTCTTCAGCAATCCACGTTTGCCGTAAAAGGCGACTATGATTGTCGTAAGAGGCGAAAAGGGTGGTCAGGCTCGCTGACTTGGATGATGCATGTCATCGTATCCCAATTGCGTGACCGATGCTCATAATATCAATCACTGGATTGTCTGGTCCAGACTCAATTATTTACAGACCGCCGTCATATAGCTGGAATAAACGGCGTTAAACAACAAACAAACAAACAAGCAAACTTGATATAAAGGAGACACGGTGAGTCGGGTAAGTCTGTGGATACGTACATTTGCTTCTAGGTCTGGGGTTCTTGCCGCAGTAAACTTGGTCCGGGGGCTTACATCTCTCCTCCCGCACGTCATACAGCTGGGGATATGGACATTCATTCTCGTATCGCCTCAGACCGTAGGGCGGGTCGCCTTCACTACAGTCGAAGAACTTGGCACAGCTCTCTGGGTGTGGGAAGGTCACTGACGAGTATTTGGGGCACGCTTTACTTGCTACGTCTGAAATAAAACAAATGTTTAAGACTTAGTCTATTTCAGTGTTTTCATCGGTTAGCTTAATATGGCAGGATGTGATACAATCTACCAAGTTTAACCTAGGATCGACCGCCTCTGTGGTCTAGTGGTAGAGCGTCCGCCCGGAGAGCGGAAGGTCCGGGGTTCGATACCCGGCCGCGTCATACCAAAAGACATTTAAAGATGGTACTTGTTGTTACCCTGTCTAGCGCTAGGCATATTGGGGCTAAAACAAGGACTGCTCTGTTCGGAGTCAGTATACTGTGTCTAAGTGGGGTATTCGTGTTAAACTGCGGCATGGTATCTCAGTGTGCTAGCATCAGTCCGGACTAGTACAAGCAGCCACACACACACGTGCACGCACGTCGCTATATAAGTGCAATAATCTTTGACGCGACGTTAAACCCAATTTCACCTCATCTCATCTAAACCTAGGATCGTAATCAATGCAAATCAATAGATCACGTAACGCAAGCGAATGTCGGGCCGCGTGTACCAATGGGTCACGGATGAACCATAATATTCCGACGCAAAAGAGTTCGTTGTCAAAACCTGCAAGAAGATCTGCACTCATTAAATCCTATTTGACACTTCAGGACGTCTTAGATAATGTGTATTTATTAAAAGGATAATACAAATTCAGAATTATACAAATAAAAGCGACAAAAGCATTTCCATAATCATAAGAAATCTCTGCTATGTCCATTGTACGATTCCGTGTTCAGCAAACTATGGTTATAACGAACTCAAAGAGACTGCTAATTTTAGTTCGTTTTAACCGTAGTTCGTTATATGCATATATACAGCACATATACAGCAAATGGCCGGGTCCAAAAAATAAGTTCGGGATATCTGTCAGTTCGTTATAAGCGCGTTCGTTATAAACGTAGTTTACTTTATATCATAAGCATGTGTTTATGGGTGAACCTATTCTGCCCCAACGGCACAGTCACAAACACATGCAAAGGCAAATCAATTGTTCACTTGGAATCAGGAACATATGGTACAATGAAAATGGGGAACTGCACGAAGCAATGAATGAGTTTGGATTTATAAGATAATATGTCTTTGACCTATTTGAACTATGAGTTCCCCGTAAATCCGGGGAAAATTCGCAGTAACATCGTTCAAAAAAATAAATTAATGGGACAAATTAACTGTACACCAAGGTTAAATGGTGGCTAAAAATGAAGAAACAAGAAATCGTTCGATGGTGATCCATTTGATACAGGTATCATAGTTGTATTGCGAGGTTTTGATGGTGTTAGTAATTTTTTAGTCAAATTCAATTTTCAGGTGTATACTTTCTTTTGCCCGGCAGTGTACTTTTCCGGATCACGTGTAGCCAGGTTTCCAGATTAGCGAGGTTGGTTGGTTGGTTGGTTTGTTGTTTAACGCCGCACTCAACAATATTCCAGCTATATGACGGCGGTGTGTAAATAATCGAGTCTGGACCAGACAATCCAGTGATTAATATCATGAGCATCGATCCACGCAAATGGGATCGATGACATGCATCAACCAAGTCAGCGAACCTGACCACCCGATCCCGTTAGTCGCCTTTTACGACAAGCATAGTCGCCTTTTACGGCAAGCATGGGTTGCTGAAGATCTATTCTACCCCGGGTCTTCACGGGTCTGTTAGCGGGGTATCACTGTACCGATAAGAAAGGCAATATTCACCTAGGGGGTTCCCACATTCCGATGCGTCCATCGTACACGTCTTCTCGGTCTGGCTCCAGTATAAGTGGTCCGCACACTCCATCCAATGCGCGAACCAGCGAACACCGTCTGTGGAGCACTGTACGTACCCCGTGCAGTCCCATGGCAAGACAGTGTACTTGTTGTATTCGTTACAGAGAAAGTCTAGCTGGGACTGTCTGCCCTTTTGTAAACTGTGTGTTGGCTGCAGTGTCGCTGTTATGATACTGATCAATACACAGGTCGATCGTAGCGTGTGCATTCTGAAAAAAATAATCAGCGTTTATATTATTGTTTGTTTCTATGTTGTTTTATGCCGTTATTTTCAAGCTTCGGTCTTCCAATGACCCTAGTCTGGAAATAATCGAAACTGGACAAACCAGTGACTGATATCATGAGCATCGTCCCGCGCTGTCGGGGTACGATGACACACTATCAGCGAGTTTATGAAGCCTTAACTCACATCCATGTATTAATAGCCTTAGGTTGCTGGTTTCTAAAAGGGATCCTCACAAGGGCGTTTGGGTGAGTGAGTGAGTGAGTGGGTAGGGTTTAACGCCGCTTTTAACATTATTCCAGTTATATCGTGACGTGTCAGCTTAATGTGGGAGGAAAGCCCGAAGTAATGCAGGTCTCAGACGTTTACCACTTCGGTGAAACCCACGAGCACGGGTATGGTGCTGACAAACCTAGAAACATTATTGGGTGGAACCGGGATTCGAACCCAAAATCATAGGTTTCTGGCGTGCCCAGAGGAGGCAACTCTGCACAGCGAATCGCGGCGCCTTAGACGACTGGGCCACCCGTGCCCCCTAAGGGCGTTTCAAATAAATACAGCCATTTTAGCCAAATGATATCAGTCAACTTTAAATGTGCCTTTTTTTAGTATACGGCTACATATGGCCCCCATTATCCTATAGCGAAAGAATGAATCGACTAAAGTGAGGATGTCACCCTACCCAGATGACGTGGGTTGGTGCTCATGCCGTCAACTATTGGTTTGTCTGGTTCAAGCTCGAACAAGGAAACGGCTGTAGTTTTGCTTACAAGGGCGTCATTCAATCATTCATACACTAAATTGAACAAATCACTCATTCGCTTCAATAAATAAAAATGAAATTAAACCTTTCGAAATAACATTTTTTTTAAATATTGCTCTCATCCTTCTAATTGTCAATATGTATACGGGCGGTCGGGTAGCCTAGTAGTTAAAGCGTTCGCTCGTCACGCTGAAGACCCGGGTCCGACAGACCGCCGTCGATGGGTACAATGTGTGAAGCCCATTTCTGGTGTCCCCCGCCGTGATATTGCTGGAATATTGCTAAAAGCGGCGTAAAACCAAACTAACTCACTCACTCAATATGTATACGTGAGTGAGTGAGTGAGTCTTGTTCCACTCTACGTTTATACTAGTGAGAGAGTGAATATGTTTTTACGCCACCTTAAGCAAAATTTTAGCAATATGAAGGCGGTAAACTACAGAAGTGGGTTTCACACATTCTATCCAGGGTAACAAGCGACCCCCCCCCCCGTGCCGCTGGGGGTAAAAGGCAAAATAGTGATGAAAATAATATCAGTGATGACACCAGGTGTTCGCAAAAAGGGCAAGCATGCCCTCCTCTTCCTGTCACGGGGGGACAACTAAAATCTGAAATGAAAACATTTTACAAAAAAAAGAACTTACATTATCTTAACAAATCTAATAAAAATGAGCCCAATGACTCTCTTCATTTTCACACACCTGCAGTGACCGAGACTTTCCAACTATTAAAGACTTGCGCGGGATGTAATGGTGTACTTGTTTCAGGGTCTGTTATGTGTGACAGACTAGGGGCGTTATTGCAGACTGCAGTCGTGAAGACTGACAAGGTATAAGGGGTTGTTGTGACGTGTATTTCCTCCTGTGTGAGTCATTTACATTGACATCACTGTAACGACGTTATAAACGTCGTGTTGAGAAAGAAAACACGGCCTGTGCTGTACCCTGGCAGCGCCATCGTGTAGCCAGGCTGTAAACATTAAACCCCTTCAAGGCTGGGTCAGTCTCGCGGTCAGGATTATATGATGACAAAAGAGCATTAATGTCAGTTCCGTCAACAATATCAAACAAAAGACAGCAACAACGTAATAAAAATTTCCGGAGAATTCAAATGAAACAGAATCATCAAATATCCTTAAGGTTTAAATTTTGGAAAGTGATTATTCTGGTATTTAATGCAGTCTATATGTAGGTATATTTTGATAACGGTTTAGGTGTGTATATAGTAGCTTTACAAATGAACCAGGACACGAGTGGCCAGGCGTCTAAGGCGCCGCAATTCTCTGTGCAGGGTTGCGTCCCTTGGGCATGCCGGAAATCCTGTGTTCGTGGGTTTGAATACCTGACGGCGTGTCAGATTGATGTGGGAGGAAGGCCCGAAGTGATTCAGGTCTCAGACATTTACCACTTTGATGAAACCAACGAGCACGGGTATGGTGCTGATGAACCTAGAAACATAATCGGGGCGAACGGGGATTCGAACCCACGAACAAAGGTTGCTGGCACGCCAAATGGCCGCAACTCTGTACTGCAGATCGAATTACGGCCAGTTATACGACAGTCACTATACTGTGTCTGAGTGTGGCATCCGTGTTAAAGTGTGACATGGTATCTCAGTTGGCTAGCACTATAAAATCGCCATTAGTCCGTACTGGTACGCACGCACGCACGCACGCACGCACGCACGCACACACGCACACGCACACGCACACGCACACACTCATCGCTATACAGACCCGTGAAGATCCGGGGTAGAATAGGTCTTCAGCAACCCATGCTTGCCGTAAAAGGTGACTATGCTTGTCGTAAAAGGCAACTAACGGGATCGGGTGGTCAGGCTCGCTGACTTGGTTGATGCACAGGTCATCGATCCCTTTTGCGTTGATCGATGATCATGATGTCAATTACTGGATTGTCTGGTCCAGACTCGATTATTTACAGAACGCCGTCATACAGCTGGAATATTGCTGAGTGCGGCGTTAAACAACAAACCAACCAACCAACCAACCAACCAGCCAATGTCGCTATATAAGTGCAATAATCTTGAACGCGACGTTAAACCCGTCTTCGTCTCACGTCTTACAGAATTACGGGGAAGCAGATTGACATTTATTAGGCAAAAGATGAATTAACTTGTCAAGTATACGACCGGAAAAGTGTAGGCTACTCTTGGTGTTATGTAAGTGTCATTCATAAAGACTGTATACTCCCCATGAGACTGAGGCTGTGAAACAAAGGAGGACAGGTGTGGATCCCGTGTTTCGCCTTGTTGCCCTTTGGTCAAAAACAAAAATATTTTGAAAAACGCGACAGTGGGACAACGCGAAAATGCGGGAATTTCCCATAATTTCGCGTTGTCGCGTTTTGGTTAATTTGATCACTGTCTGTACGATGTCCATTCTAAGATGCCATACAAGTGAGATTTGTACGGAAACCTATTTGGGCCTTAATAATGACATAATATTTTACAGATTTAAGTTACCTGAATTTTCGACAAAATAAGTTGATTCTAGTTTGAAACTCAAACTCATACCTTTAAACATTATTATTTCGAATTATCAACTGGGAATGATGTGTTGTTAAGACCAAGAAGGACCGATAAAGGAATCTCATTTTAATTTTAAATGCTCATTATGTCAATCACTGGATTGTCGGGTCCAGACTCAATTATTTACAGACCGCCGTCATACATCTGGAATATTGCGGCGTTAAACGGCGTCATCCAAAAGATGTTAAAAGGTGGTACTTGTTGTTACCCTGCCTGGCGCCCGGCATAAGGGGATAAAACAAGGTCTGGTCGGTTCGGAATCGTTATAACTCCGTACTAGTACAAGCAGCCACACACGTGTGCATGCCCATCGCTTGATTGTGAAAAATATTGAAGCAGACTTAGAACCCACTTCACTCACCTCATGTGCCGTATGACCGCCTCCGTGGTCTAGTGGTAGAGCATCCACCCGGAGAGCGGAAGGTCCGGGGTTCGTCATACCAAAAGACGTTAAAAGATGGTACTTGTTGTAACCCTGTCTGGCGCTCGACATTAAGGGATTAAAACAAGGACTGGTCGGCTCGGAGTGAGTATGCTGTGTCTGAGTGGGGTATTCGTGTTAAACTGCAGAATGGTATCTCAGTGAGCTAGCACTATAAATCGGCATCAGTCAGGACTAGTACAAGCAGCAGCCACACACACACACACACACACACACACACACACACACACACACACACACACACACACACATGCAATAATCTTGGACGCAACATCAAACACCATTTCACCTCACCTCACCTCTGGTACCGTGTAGAATACAGATGCCTCTTTACTATCGCTTTACTTTATCCAGGAGAGAGTATCTTAGATGACAATCATGTATTACAAACAATAACAGCGTACAAAGGTAATGGTTCTGAAACTGCCTCTACGTGTTCCTACTTCATCCCGGATGTGCTGTCAGTTTGTTACAACAGGGAATCCATTGTCTTACTTTCCCAATTCTGCCTGAAACAGCATCATTAATCATTCTCGAGTTTCGAATTTAATTTGAACGAAGGCCCCATTGTTACGTGTTTGTGATGCCACAGGTGAGGTGCCAAGTACATACTGCCTCCATCCCACCTGTGCGGCCCCTCCCGACCCCCCGCGGGGAGAGGCTGGGGCAGATTGTAGAGATTTTTATCACGACTGAGAGAAACAATTCAAAATATTTCATGTATCCGCGCATCCTTAATGTGTGGGTAACTGGTTTATGCAACGCTATTTACGCGCATTTTCCTACATGACGCTGGGAAAACAAGGACTGGTGAAAATATCATAATCGAATCTGAACCAGACAATCTACGCAATTGCATAGGATGGCGATCATCAACCGTGGAGTGAGTGAATGAGTTGTGTTTAACGCCGCTTTTAACAGTATTCCAGTTATATCGCGGCGTGTCAGCTTAATGTGGGAGGAAAGCCCGAAGTGATATCAACCGTGGAAGGTTTACATGCACAGCACCCGTGAAGATCCGGGTTAGAATCGGTCTTTAGTAACCCATGCTTACCACAAGAGGCGGTTAACGGGATCGGGTGGTCAGACTCTCTGACTCGGTTGATGCATGTCCTCGTATCCCAATTGCGTGGATCGATGCTCATGATATTAATCACTGGATTGTCTGGTCCAGACGCGATTATTTACAGACCGTCGTCATATAGCTGTAATATTGCTGAGTGCGGCGTTATAC